TGGAGGTCCCTGCCACCCACCCCACCAGCCAGGCCCCTGGGTCCTGCCTCCTGGATGGGTCTCAGACCTTACCTGCTCCAGCCCCACCTCAACCTGAACTTTGCGCCTACCCTCCTCTCCCACCCTCGCCACAGGGCTCATTCGCAAGGAAGCCCATGTCCAACCTGTCAAGATCAAAAAACCCCAGCGCCACACCACTGTTGTGTCTTCCTCTGTGGGGTCTCTCTCAGGGCCCTCTCAGTCACAGTCATTCCCAAGCCTCCCACTGGCCGCATCTCCTTGGCATCTCATATTTATGAACGGGAGCTGGAAAATGTATACCAACGTTTATTTTATTTATTTACTTATTTTTGGCTTATCAACAACAGACATTTATTTCTTACAATTCTGGAGGCTGGAAGTCCAAGATGGAGGCACCGGCATGGTTAGGTTCTGGTGAGGGCTGCAGGTGGCTGACTTCTCCTTGTATCCTCACGTGGTGAAAAGAGCAGCATTTATTCTTAAAATTGTTTTGGACATGGTTTAATTTGCATAAGAGTTGCATCACTGATCTCCAGATGCAGGCACCCTACCTCTGTCACCCCAGTTAGCTGTGACAGCCCAGTCACGTGTCTGCCTCTCTCTGGTCAGTTCATTCGAATTTGACTTCATGATTCCTTACTTTACCTACCATCCAAGAGTGAGAACTTGATTCTCCTCTCATCTCAAAGTGGATTCTCCCAAACCAAAATTTCACACCTACAGCTCCTGGGAGGGTGTTTCTGTCAGGTGGGTCTCCTGCCACCTCAGGTTGTGGGCAGACTCTGCCTGGCACGTTATTCCACAGTGATACCAGTGACTGTCCCGATGCCAGAGGTCTCACAGGGCAGCCCCATCTTGCTCCTGACCTTCCGCCTCACATGTCCATCTTGAAGGGGGACATCGCTCTTGTCCCCATTGTCCCAGTGAGAAGCCCAGATCCTATACTTTTTGATTTACCTCCCACTCAGTCTTATCTCTTAAATCTCCAGAAAAGGGTCCCCTTCTTGCCATCCTGCTGCCACCCAGGATCTCCCTGGACTCCAGCAGCCTCGATGCTGGGCACTCCGAGTTGCCTTGCACCCGCCCCCTCCACCGTTTCCCCAAACTCCCCCCTTGAAAGCCTCCAGTGGCTTTCCAGGCCTCAACCCCCTTGGGCACCTCCGCCAGGCTGCCCTGCTTTCTGTGCGCCCCGGGAGGGCAGGTGTCCTGTTTTGTTCAGTACAGAGCCTGGTGCGGGATAATGGTGGTGGTTTAGTGTTAGTTTGATAGTGCCAGAGGTACAGGGTGTGTACTATATTACTTTGCCATAGTAGGTAGACAGGTTACATTTAACGTCTTTTTCTAGGAGTTGGACCATAATTTTCTCATATTGAGTTATTGTAGAGGTTTATGGCTACTCCTTTACTTTTTATTTCCTGACACATTTTTGGGCGGAAGTGATTTATTTGGTAGTGCTCTCTGGGTTGGAAATGGAACTTCTATTTGAAATACTATTCCTGTGGGAGCGAAACTTGACCACAGTTTATTGTAGATTTAGTGTCTAGAAAGTCGGTAATACTTGGCCTTCCTTATCTTATTTTTAAAGGCGTGGTTTGTTACTTTCCCACCCACACTGGTCGCACTCCTGCCCCTCGTTCCTTGGAAGAGGAAAGCCGAGACGCCGCGGTTCATTGACGGCCGTGCGGGGCCTCCTGGCTTGATAGAGTCTCCTTTGAAAAGCTGGGCCTCAGAGCCTGAGGTCAGGGTTCGTGCTTTCCCCACACCACCAGTGCTTCTCGCTGTTTACACGCTTCCTAAACACCGACGGTTTGTGCCAGCCCTCGCCTTGGCCTCGTGTCCTTCGTGGCTGTTGTAGTCCAGGAGCCAGCCTGGCCTAGGTGCAGCCCCTGCGCGGCAGCCTCATTCTCTGAGACCTTAGTGGGGTCCTTAATGTCAGATTCTTAACATCTCAGGGCCTCAGTGTTCTCATCTGTGGAGCAGTCGTTGTAACAGCGCCTGCCCTGCACGGTTGTTGCGATTAAATGAGGAAGCTGATCCAACCTCTTGACAAGTGGGGGCACTGTAAATGCTGGCCGCTGCCTCTGCTGGGAGTCTGTTCTTATTTTGAAATTTGCTACTTGCTAGCTTTGTGACGTTGGGTGAGTTATTTAGCCTTTTTGGGCCTTGATAATGGGTGTTAATGTGAGTGCCTAGCCCCATAGTAGCACTCTGAGGATGACATGAAATAATCCATACAGAGGGCTTGATCGGTGCCTGCACCTGGCCATAGTAAATGTGCTCAGTAAAGGTCTTCTGCTGTTAGCAGTTTCTTTTTTTTTTTTTTTTTTTTTTTTGAGACAGAGTCTCACTTTGTTGCCTGGGCTAGAGTGAGTGCCGTGGCGTCAGCCTAGCTCACAGCAACCTCAAACTCCTGGGCTCAAGCGATCCTCCTGCCTCAGCCTCCCGAGTAGCTGGGACTACAGGCATGTGCCACCATGCCCGGCTAATTTTTTCTATATATTTTTAGCTGTCCAATTAATTTCTTTCTATTTTTGGTAGAGACAGGGTCTCGCTCTTGCCCAGGCTGGTCTTGAACTCCTGAGCTCAAACAATCCGCCCACCTCGGCCTCCCAGAGTGCTAGGATTACAGGCGTGAGCCACCGCGCCCGGCCAGCAGTTTCTTTTAAAGTAAGTCCTGGGAGGATCCCAGGACCCTATTTTGTAATCAACTGCAGATTTTCTGAAAAATATTTTAAGTAATTTTTTCCCCATCAGTGCACGGTCATTATAGAATTTTTTTTTTCAAAGAAGCACAAAAAGTTAAAATTTGTGATCCGATCCAATGTCAATACTTTTGTAGCTATCCTAGTGTTTTTCTGTGTGCTATAAATCTATACATTTCTTTCCCCTGCCCCCAAATTGGGATTATGTGTATTTTTAAAAACATAACTGGAATAATCACTTGCATAGCTTGAGGTAGACAATAGTTTTTCATTTATGCCTCCGACTTGTGTAGTTAGGTTTAGTCAAAGGCCCTGGGATTTATGGGAGGTTCTTGCACCCCTCTGTACCCTGAGCTGCAGCTGTCCTGTCTTGGGGACATGAAAGGGCACACCAGACCTCCTGTCTCTATGTGCATGGTGACGATGTCACTATGCTGGAAAGACCATTGGTCCAGGTGTGCGTTTTATTAGGTTCAATTGTTAAAGTATTTTAAAGCTTTTTAAAATTAGATTTACAAAAGGGCAACACTAGGGATCTTTGTGATGGTGGATACATGAACCTACGTAGGTGATAAAACTGACTAGTAGTTTTAGGAGAGCAGAGCAATGTTAGCAGGCCCTCAAGTCACATCACAGGTTTAAACACAGAGGCCATTTAGCTGAGGTGGTCTGTTTCCTGGTGTATTCAGGGGTATGGATGCTTTCTAGCCATGTACTAGCTGGAGGGCTTCAAGGTCTTTATCTGCACTCTTGCAGAACATCAGAGCTGTGCAGGGGGGAAACTCACTCCTGTCGGTGTCACAGGAATCTTCACTTAAAGACTTGTCATGACCTTGAGCTGATGAATGAACTAAGAGCAACTTGAGCTGGACTCCGTCTGCATCAAATTAGATTCCTGTTTAAACCCACCCTGATAAGTCTCCCTTGCCTTTGCCTCACTGGCAGTTCTGTCTGAGGCAGCACGTTTCCCTCCCTCCTATCGGATCCTGCAAGAAAGGCTGGGTGGAGGGTCTGTCTCCCGGCTCTGATGGCGCCGTGTTGCTAGGGTTTCAGATTTAGAACCAGATTTCAGGTCTCCTCCTTAAGCTAGAAAATCATTCCAGTAGATCCAATTTCTCTGAGCTCACTCACTAGGATGATCTCTACTTGCATTTAATAAAATATTTAAAGACCTATTGAATTCCAGTGCTGTTTGCTGTTAGTAATGCTACTGAGTTTGACTTAGTAATATACTTCAATTCCCAAATGCCTTGCATGGGCTCATCCTGAATGTGGGTCGAAAGCTTCTACTCTTAACAGAATTATTCTCTAGAGTCTTAGTTACAACGAAGTTATAATTTAGCCCCCAGAGTGACAGGTTTCAAACAACTTTATACTTTGGCTCTAAATCCATTTATATTCAGTCTTCTCCCCGTAGAATAAAACTCATGCTACTTTATTGGTGTTTATTGAACTGCAAATCAGTTCCTTGCCATTGATTTAAAATAACTCTGAAGTTTCTATGATTTTTTTTTTTTTTTAAAGCAGATTAAAGCCTTTTGTTGCACACCCCTTTTCTCCAGCGGAAGGAGAACAAAAATCTATAGTCCTAGAGTGGCTTGCATACAACCTCTTAGGACCATGGTAAATTGTACGGGTAATGAAACACCACTGTGCTTGTGTGTGTGTGTGTGTGTGTGTGTGTGTGTGTGTGTGTGTGTGTGTATAGCAGCATTAGTAGTAGTCTTTTTGGTGTAGATTAAAAAAATGTCACCCTAGTTTTCATGGCGTGGAAACTGGTTGCATAGCCTTAGAATTTAGGCCATTTGGAGAGGAGGGGGCTGTGCCGTTATGACATCATCAGCTTAACACTGTTGTTTAATAATTATACCAAAGTCTGCTTTCTGAAGAACCCTGCTCTGTCTATGGGGTTGAGTGTGCGTGGGGGGGGGGGGTCCAGTCTCACAGGCCTGTCTGAGGATTCACACACGGTGGCTGTGCTCCTGACCCCACCCCGTCGCCTCACCCTCAGCACCACGATTAAACACGCATGTGCGAGCACACGCAGACACTCAATGTCAAGGCTTCTCAGGGATTAGAAGTCACTACCCTCTGGAAACTCATCTGGTCACTGGGACTAGAAAATGAAATCTGGTGGTGGTGAGTTGAACCCAGCAAAACCAAGGACCCTGTGTGCGTAATGTGCAGGCACAGCTTTAGCGCCGCTTTTTCAGATGGGTCATTTGTTTGGCAAGTTTGTGGCATCGGTGGTCTCATTGTCCTTTTTATTTCTTACAGTTCTATGTGCTGAAAGAGTTGGCCAGATGACTAAGACATATAATGACATAGATGCTGTTACTCGGCTTCTCGAGGAGGTAAGTGTCTCGGGGGAAGGCAAAAGGATTGTTCATAATTGATTTTAATCTATTTCGATCAAAGCATGCCTTACTGTCTGTTTCAGTGAAGAATCTCAGCAGTTGGGCCCTCTCAGGGTATAATTTAATGGTTTTATTTTTTGGACTACTAGCTGTGTAAGCCTTTGTCACTGTAAATTTTGTGCTGCAGGTATTTTAGGTTTTTAAAGGAATGTGTTAATGACACAAAATATAGTGGTATTTAAATACTTGCTAGAACACACAGTTTAAGATTTTAAAAACACTAAAATACATTTTAACAATATATTTTAAATGTCTCTAAAAAATGTCAGAAAAGTGTATCCTCCATTTCTTCTTCCTCATGTATTTTCAGTTTTTACTTACATCAAGTTGGCGGAATATTATGCAGTATCAGCATGGAAATAAGCAAAATAAGCAAGGCAAGAAAAATTTAGGAAAGTTGCTTAGGATTAGGTGAGCTGATTGCATTTTAGAGACTATGGTTTTCTCAACTTGTCAGCATTCTCTTGGGAGTTGAGAATTAAGGTGCTTTGAAGGCCTCTAGACACATGCGTGTGATGTGTGTATCTACATGCCTAGAGCAGGCCAGAGCACGGCAGGTTCTCAGTTTGTTGAATAAGTGCCCATCCTTGTACACCACCCTCACGACCAAACTGGGCTTTGAATAGACAGGTGCCGACTTCTCGACCCATGTTTCTTCTGCCCTAGAGTCTAGATGAGTTTGGGTCATATGACTGTTCATTACCGTCTTCCCCAGGAAGAGAGTAGAACAGCATGGGAGACACAGAAAACGTTTTTGCTACTGTTTTCGGCCAGTGGGAGGACAAGGTTGAAATACAGGACCTAGGCAGGAGCAGTGGGACCCAGGCTTTTTTGGGGGGCATTTTTTCACCATATTCATGTCTCCCCCTTCCTGTGTTTCTCCTTCTGCACACCCAGCATTCTCACACCTGCCTTGCAGCCCACTCCTGTCCGATCCCCAGAAGGGGAAATCGGGGATTTTGGGTGTGTGACAGGGTGTCAGGGAGGCATTTGGGAGCACAGGCCTTCTGCCTTTGGGTGGTGCTGCAGGCGCAGCCATGTTGATGGCGTCAGCCGCGGGGCAGGCTCGCTTGGCTGGCACCTCTGACTTTTGAAAATGGTTTATTGATGACTCCTTCCTGCTGTGTTCACTTCCCCCAACACTGCCACTGCTCTGCAGATCTTACAGAGTGTGTCCGGCATCCGCTCCTCACCCCACGTCCTCATCATGTCTTCCAAGAGAGGTCCTACATCCACACCTTTATTTTTATTCTGAGACCTCCACTCAAACTCCTGGAGCCTCAGCAGTGGGATTTTAGCTTCTCGCTGCTCTAATCTTCTTTGCAGCTGCCACCATCCCCAGCCCGCTGTGATCACTGTGCTGTCTCCCTGACGCTTGGCTCCTCTGTGTGGCATTTGAGGCCACCCTCTTGTACATGGCCCTGAATCCCCCTCCTACTCCCCACTGTCACCAGGACCTGCCTCCTGCTCTCCCACCCTTGGCCTTGTGTGCTGTTTGAGCACCTCGGTCCTTTCCTGCTGCTGAGTCTTGTCCTTCAGGATCCACCCAGGCAGGACCTTTGAAGCCAGCCTGGCCCGGCCGCAGGTGGTCTGTACCCTCACTGGGTGCAGGAGTCATCCTGAAGTCCTGTTTGTTTTGTTCATCCTGCTGGATTGATTAGAAGCTTTTCCAAAGCAGGGACCCTGTTGGATGTTTTGTTTTGTTTTGTTTTGGAGTCAGGGTCTTGCTCTGTTGCTGGGGCTAGAGTGCAGTGGTGGCATCATAGCTCACTACAGCCTCCAACTCCTAGGCTCAAGCAATCCTCCTGCCTCAGCCTCCCTAGTAGCTAGGACTATAGGCATGTGCCACCATGCTGAGCTAATTTTTTAAATTTTGGTACAGATAGGGTCTTGCTATGTTGCTCAGGCTAGTCTTGAAATCCTGGTCTCAAGCGATCCTCCTCCCTCAGCCTCCCAAAGTGCTGGGATTTCAGGCATGAGCCACCACACTCTGCTGCTGTTGGATGATTTCTTTCTCTTTTTTAACCTTGGAAATAATAGGCCTTTGATAAAATGTCTGCCTTTGTTGTCATGCTTATTATTAGAGGTAAAATTTTACTGAGAGCTGAGTGTTGTCCATGAGTCATCTCATTAATTCTACAGTAGCTCTCAGAAGTAGATACCACTGTTGCCCCTGTTTTACAATGAAGGACGAAAGATGCCCAAGATTACTTGGCAGCTTTCCAACCCAGGCCCTTAAACACAGACTCTGTTGCATTTGGCTGTTGTGTTTACTACTCTGGTTGGTCTTTGTTAATGTGGTTAGTTGCTTGTCAGTGGGACATTTTTACCTTGAAAACATGAACTGGGTAATGTTTTCTGTGGGAAGCTGCCTGCGTGAGTGTGCACTGCCTGCAGTTCCTGGCCGTGGCTGTGTCTGAGTGCGGGGCGACACCCCACAGGCCAAGACCCTTCTCTCTGCTTGTAGTGCAAGGACCCCTTCCAAAGGAGCTGAACTCTCGAGCCCTTTATGCAAATACAGGGTATCAAGAAATTACTTTTTCCCACAGTTAATTTCCTAAATGAGTGTTGCTATGTAAAGAGTATGGCCTCATCTTTTAAAAAAATTGAGTTGCTGGGAAAAAATATCAGTGGGGTGGATGGATTCTTCATGTTCTTTGTTGTGCCTTGTTTGTTTTATCTTTAAAGGGTCATCATGGCAATGGTGTGTTTACATCTCTGTGTCTCTGTGTATAGATTGCCATTCGGTTCCTTGTCCTGATAAGATTCATGCCTGAGTTACTGCCTTTCTTCAGAACTAGGCGTGTTTCCTGGTTGAAGTCTAACTGCCCCGGTCATGTGACAGTCGCACTGTGCTATGCTTTTTCTTGGCTTTGGCTCTGTTTCTTCTGTTCATTCCCTTTGGTTAGCGCGCCTGCCATGCACAGGCAGGCGGGGTGCTGGGAGATTTTGTGTGTCCCAAAGCACAGCCTTGGCCAGCGTGGAGAGTTTGCTTCTGGTTTTAAGTGGAAGAGGATGGTGTTGCTTGCCCTGGCTTGCTGCTGTTCGGAATGCACCTTTGGGCAAAGCTTGCCGCCTCCACAGTTACAGAGAGGGTGATTCCACTGGCCCCTTAGTCATGCTTTTTATCCGGAAATTGGTGAATGAGATGAGTCAGCCGCTAAGTGTAGGAAGTAGGCTGTTCTGATTCTCTAGTGGGTGTGTCGGCCTGTGTTCATTGGTGCGGTCTTTTTAAGCAAAGCATAGCCAGAAGATGGAGCGAGCAATTAGAATGAGCTCCACCTTGCCTCAGTTCCTGGGGAATAAAAGAACTAGTTCTTTTAATAGCTTGTTTCCAAGGCCCTAAATTATTTCTTTATAGTATCACATTCTCATTGCGGTTTAACCCAATGGTCATTGCCTAGCTGTTTTCTTGTTTTTAGAAGTAAATATTTATCCTATGTTGGCCAGTTGTGAGAAATGGGAGATTGTTTTCATTCTTATAATTGTCAGAGAGAAACCCAACCAACCTGTTGCCTTAGTAAAATTAGAAAAAAATTAGAGACACTATAATAACTTTTTTGTTTAATTTTTTAATTTCATCCATAAATATTCTTACCGTGACTTCTTGCTTTTTTTTTCCGGCAGTGTTCTTTATAATTACTTTAAAGATTAGGTTTCCTGTGTAGACCAGGGGAAGCTGGCCCTCAGCGTGGGGCAGGGAGAGGTGGGGAGGCCCTCGGTCTGGGGTTCGAGGTGTGCTAGTGTAGGGCACAAGGCTTCCTTGTTGAGCTCACTGCCCCACTTGTTTCTCTTCCCCTGCCTGTGTCCCATCCCTCTGGGGTTCTGGCCCTCCGTGTGCTGGAAGCCTTTCACATCCCCCAGGGGCTCTGGCAGTGCCTGCCTGACCCATCTTCATTCTACTTTGTGCTTGATTTGTTTGCATTGGAACGTGCGTACAGAATGTGGCTGAGGCATACAAAATGTCTGTGCTCGTTGGAACTTAGCAACTTGGAAGCACGAGGGCAATGCAGAACAGGTAGTCAGTGTTAGCTAAAAAAATCAACGAGGTTTATACTTTGGAAAAAGGAGAGCTTTGTTTCTCATAAAGGGTAGCAGACTATTGGGCAGCCATTCCAACAGATTGGGAAGCAGAGCCCTGGCCAGAGGCCACGCACTCTTGCTTCAAAGGACAGACAAAAGGAACAAGATTTTATACTGAGCAGGTGGTCAAATATACATATTCTGCAAGCTGTAGGAGGAGCCATGAATGTTTGTGAAGGGAAGTCGTGCCCATGTGTGACTGTGCTTTCTCTCTCCCATCCTGTCATGGCTGAGAACTCAGTTTTAAGGTGTTTCTTGGGTTCTCTTGGCTGGGAGGGGTCCATTCATTTAGCACAGGGCTTAGGATTTTAATTTGAATTCACATCAGGTAGTGAGCTGATGAGCATTAATTAAGCACCTGCTGGGTATTCAGTCTGAGAACTTGTTCCAGTAGAGAAATTGAATAGACTTCCGTGAGATTTGTGGCGGCCATACCTCCAGAGAGAAGCAGACCTTGGTAGTGCCGTTTTAACCAAGAGTGAGCCCCTCAAACCGCTTGGACTAGGTGCTAATTGTGAGTTGGGCCCTGGAGACTCAAATTCTGTGCAGGCTCTCGCACAGTTCTTTGAATCCTTTCCTCAAGATACCAAGTAAACACAACTGTTGAGTCTAGGAAGTGACAGAGGGCCAAGAGTAAACATGTCTTGGTAGACGGTGTGGCCAGTGTGGATAAATGCACAAAGATGAGCATCTGGGTTGACTGGGCAGAGTCACTGCATCTGCGTCCCCTTTGCTCTGTTGAGGGCCCTCTCCCGTGTTTCTTGGAGGGAGGGTGTGATGGGCAGGCACAGATTGCGGGAATGAGTTGGGGGGTTTTTACGGCCCACTTGCTGTGATACCCGCTGGCTTCTGGGATGGAAGACCCGGGAGACGATAACACTCGTCGTCCTGCAGGAGGGAAGTAAATTGCTGTGGAATCCAGACTCTTCTCCAAGTGTACTTGGACCTCAAGTGCTGTGCTCATAATTCAGCAAAATGCCTGCAGTTAGCAAAGGGAGGTGTGCTGCTATTGCAGGGAAAAATTTGGTGGATAGGTAAGAAGTTATAAATAAAAGCTGCTTATTCTTTTTATCATACAACTCAGTGAATAATAAAGCTACGAGACTTTCTCAAGGATATCTCAACTAGCCTGCCCTCCCCCCATTTAATGGATGAGGGAACTGGACCCAGGGATGTTGAAACAGAACCTAAACTCTCCCAGTTTAGAGTAGGTTGGTTCACCCAGAGCAGTTAAACTTGTGACCAATACTTACTGTGAGAACTGTACCTTAGGTTGTGTCCCAGTACTCACATAGGTAAATAGGTGACAAAAGTGTAAACATTCCCTTATTATGTGGAATCTACTTTGGTGTTTTCAGTTCTGTGCCGTCATATTTAATTAAAACAAAATGCCAGTTGCCATTACTAAAATGATTTCTCAATCCACCAGTGGCTTGAAAAAACTAATTCTATGGTGTACCAAATCCTTGCGAAGCCGAAGCCATTCACCTAGGGCCATGTGGGTAGTTAATGGCCAGTGTCAGAGCAGAACCTAGGATTCCTCCCCAGCTTTTTCCTACCCCAAAATATATGTTTCCATTCTTCTGCTTTTAAACTAGGTGAACAGAGTAATGAGCACAGACTTCTAAAATGATTTAGTTTTTCAGACTTTTCCTCCCCATCCAGCTCCTTCCCCCAAAGGTGAGTAAGTTGAATCTACCCACAGTTGCAAAATGATAAGTCTGCGTTTGGTGATGGCATCTTTCCACTGTCAGGGGACATATTTCTTCCCACAAAGGCAGCCGTGCCTTCATATGTCACTAAGGATTTTCCTCCGTGGACTGCTCTGTCTTAATTGATGTTATCAGCTGAACTAACAGAACATTCTGTGCCCTTAACATTGTCTTTGCCTCTGAAGTATGGCAATTTTATGCATTCTTTCTCCATCTTGAAAGCTTTTTAAAAAAAAAATAAAGCCTAAGTAGCCTTTTCTAAGTAAAAAACAAAACGAAAAAGGCATGTAATTGTTTTTCAGAGTAACTTTAAACATTTTTGTTTCATGAGTCGAAAACAAGGAACTCAGTAAATTCCACCCTAATGTATGCTAACGAGGCTGCCTCCCCGTGCCAGGGCTTAGCTTTGTTGTAAGAGCATTTTAGAACTTCTGTATTCATTCAACAAATAGATACTGAGTGATTCCATCTGCTGGGCCCCTGGCAAGACAATAGCCCAGCTCTCAGCAGAGACAAGTTACCAAATGATTACACAAATACCAACAGCAGTTGCAAATAAATGTTTCTGGAAGCATTCTTTTCCCCTATAGGAACAAAGGTGTGTTTTCATTAGGTTTTAAGGCTTCCCTTTCATTGCTTGATGTCTGCATAGCTCTTGCACATTACGTGGGCAGAGGTCACCCTTTTAACAGGCATCAAATGCCGATGTGCATGGTGAATTATTAATTCCTTTGTCATTTCTAGATGCCCTTGTTTTTCTCATTCGACACTGAGCACTGTGGGCTCCCTCAGGAAGCATGGGTCTTTCGAATCCGTGTTCTCCCTCTTGCCTTTATAGAAAGAGCGGGATTTAGAATTGGCTGCTCGGATCGGCCAGTCGTTGTTGAAGAAGAACAAGACGCTGACGGAGAGGAACGAGCTGCTGGAGGAGCAAGTGGAACACATCAGGGAGGAGGTAAGGAGCTGGTGGCCAAGACTTCTGGAAGGGTCTGCCCTGGGCTTGGGAGCCACAGGCCTGGCTGAAGGAGATGATATAATGGGGTCCCAGTTAAAATGGAAAGGCTCTCCCGAGGGAACGCCCAAGGCCTGAGCCCAGAGCTGCCTGTTCTGAAGTGGCCCCTTGGAGACCAAGAGCTGCCTTCCTGCAGCTCCTTCTGTTCCCTGTGGACGGGGTCGGACCTGTAGGCACAGTCTTCACTTAGTCGGCAGGCCCACGGTGCCCCGTCATGCGGGCAGGCCAGAGTATGTGGGGCCAGCTTGTCCTCCAGAGCCCAGACTCTAAGCATGCGGCTGATCGAGACGCTCCACGCTTGGCAAAAGCATGCACAGGCTAACATAACGATGAGCAGGGGCTCCTGGGTCAGTCGGGCGTGGGCAGCCGAAGAAGGAGCCCTGTTCGGAGGCTCACACACACAGGAAAGTGGCGATTTGCATTCGTCATTGCAACATAATTTTCTGCATGTAAAACAACCAAAAAAATAGCCTGTTATTTTCATGACAGAAACCCTATTATTTTCATGATACAAATCTTGAGGAAGGGCATGAAACTTTTAGGTTTATCTTAAGGAGGCCTAGGTTCAGGAGGAATGGAATGATCTTCTGGAGGGGGTGTGGTGTGGACGGGGCAGGGAGGCTATGGAGTCAGACAGCGTTGCTAGAACAAGGATTAGAAGCTTAGAGCCAGGCCCTACTTAGTGGCTTCTTTCCTGTCACCTGTTCTTTTACCACTGAATTTTAACTGTGAGGACTCTTCTTGTTTCTTCTCCCTTGTTTTCTATCAGAAACTTTCTTAGTGGGAGGGGATGCTTTTGTTCATGTCCCTAAGATGTATTCAGACTTCTTCCTTGTTAAAGTTATTCCCAGTACATTGTTATCTGGGTTTAATGATAATTTTAATATGAAGTATAGTTGCCGCTACATAAGAAAAGTTTTAATCCTAGGCCTTCTATAAAAGATGATCAGATAGAGCACTGTTGTGTTCTAGGAGAAATAAAGTGATTCCTGCATTCCCTGCCCTCAGCATCATGACGTGAATTCCCCTTCTTCAGGTGACCGATGAGAAAGCATGCCGGCTCAGCCTGGCCCCCTCTCAGCCCCTTTGGAGCAGAGGGACCTGCCACCTAGGAACCAGCAAATGGTCACCTTTCGGCTTCTTCACATTACTGTCCTTGCCTGGGACAAGGTTCATCTTGCACAAAGAGCCTCCTACTCTCTAGGAGTGTAAATACCTCCTTTTTCCTTGGAAAAGCTTTGAATTTGAAAACTGTAATATGTTCCCCTTTGGCATATCATTAAATTGTCAGTCTAAGTATTGAAGCTAAAACATTTATGCACATAAAGTTGGCTTCTCCGTGGAAGACACGATACATTCATTATGTTGTGTAGGAAAGTTGCAATAACCATAGACCCCAAGTCAAATTAGAAACAAGAAGGAATTAAAATGGAATTGTGATTCTCATTTGCCACACTGGGTTCCATATTCATCTATGCTGAATGGTGAAAGGGCAAATGAAAAATTTTACAGCACAGTTTGTTTATTTTAAAACCTTAAATATTAATATAAATCAGTGCAATTTGCAAAACCATGTCAATATGGCCAGTCCCTGATGGTTGCCTCTTTTCTCCATGTATCTGAAATTCTTATCTGGTAATCATTGAGTACAGAACAAGGTCTGGCCAGGCTTGCCCAGGAGCCCTTCGAGGGTGCGTCACAGGGTGGGGCTGTGTGTTAGCCAAGTGTGAGAGCGAGGGTTGATGACCTACTCGTGGTGACCCACCCAGAGCTGGCATCTCCGGGATTCTATTTGGATGTGGAATTTGGTTCTGGCAGAATTGAGGGGCCTCTTCATATGTTAACATGATCCATTGCTCTGACCGTTTTCCCAGCTGGTCCTCTGGCTCCTTCCAAAGCCCATGAGTGGTCTCAGTCCCTCAACTATCATTCTAGAACCTTCTAATCCCCTCTCTGCTCTTCTTCCTACCAAAGTAAAAATTAGGAATTTAGACAGGGAGGATGCTGCCAAAAAGTAATGGATTGTGTTTTTCTTAAATGGGATCAAACTCAGCCCTTGGAAACCCTATTTCTTTGAATAGCATGAAATGAGTTAAATGCCTTCACTTTCAGTGGGAAATTTTAAAAATGTTGTCACTAAGCAGTAAATATTTGAGCACGTGTAGGGACGTTACCACCTTTGGGAAGCAAATGACGGCCCCCGGCTCTGTCTGCAGGTGTCTCAGCTCCGGCATGAGCTGTCCATGAAAGATGAGCTCCTTCAGTTCTATACCAGCGCCGCAGAGGAGAGCGAGCCTGAGTCTGTTTGCTCAACCCCGTAAGTCACCAGAGGGCTGTGTTTCTGGAGGCCAGAGCACAGGCTGGCCACTGTCTCTGTCCTTGGAGTTGCCTAGGCAGGGTCACCTTCACCAGCAGTGCAGGTCAGCTGCTCTCAGCCATCCCCAGACCACACATCTGGGTTCAGATCTTGACTCTGCGACTTACTGGCTGCATGCTGTTGGCCAAGTAAAATACACCAGAAGTACTTAGGTCATAGGGTTATGAGCATTAACCGAGTGAATACATGCAGAGTACTTAAAACAGCTCTTGACACATAGGACTGCATTATGAGTATGAAATAAACTTCCAGACATCCCAGAATTGTGTAGGCTTCAAATAGAGTTGATTCCCCTGAATTCTGAGGTGATGTGACAACTGCAAATTGTGGATAAAGGGTTGGGATGTGGGTCCTAAGCGGTGGTGAGCCTGTGTGTCGAGGGCTGCTGTTTGGGGTTGGGAGAGCAGTCTGATGGGTCATCGTCACACCTGCGGGTCTCATGCCCTTTCTTTGAAGTAGCCCTTCTTTCTATGTCCATGTGGTTTCCAGGTGGTAGGGCGAACTGTCCCTCTCCCTAGATTGTGAGTGTACTTTCTCCCCCAGGTTGAAGAGGAATGAGTCATCCTCCTCAGTCCAGAATTACTTTCATTTGGATTCTCTTCAAAAGAAGCTGAAAGACCTTGAAGAGGAGAACGTGGTACTTCGATCCGAGGTGAAGTTTACTCCCTGCCCTTGCCCTTGCTGGAAGGGTGCTGGCCCCACTTGCCTCATCTGGCTAGAATGGCCACGGTCACAGGGCTGTGCTCAAAGGTGACGATGTGTGGAAGAGCCACATAGTGTGCCCAGGCACTGCCTGCCGGCGCTGCACGTGCCTCCGGGCTGGCGCAGACGGGCCTGGTGAATTATGCAGTGTGTGGACTGGGCGGAAGCTCCCGCGGTGAGGTCTTCCCGTGGTGTTCTCTGGCTCCGGCCACAGCACCTGAGGAGAAACCCAGCCTCGATTCTGTGTCACTGCGGATCAGATATGCTCTTAGGAAATAGTACACAGGAACTTGGAGCCATATTTCTTAAACAATTAATTTGAAAAGGTTGAGCTGAGGCAACTTGGGGACTTGTGCTTCTGAGTATCTTATTGGCTAAGCATTGTGCCAGGTGCTTTACCCACGTTATTTTTTTTAGTCTTCACAACAAGGCTTGAAAGCTGGTTACTCTGATTCTCATCCACAGTGAAAAAAATGGGCCCTGGGAAGTGTATTGATATTCCCAAGGTCATGCGAGTTAATAAATGACAAGGCCAGTATTTATAAGTCTGTGACTCTAAGTGCCACGTTTCTCCCCTTTAGCCACTGCCCCTCCCTAGAAACACTGATGCGTGCAGGATTAGTACTTTTTAATTAGTGGCGTGTTAATGTTCTCCAGCCAGAGGTGGTGTGGCACAGTATGGCCCTGTTTATCAGGTGTGAGCTATGGGCCACCTAAGCTGGCCCTGGGATCCCCAAAGCCCCTCCAGTAGGGCAGACTGTCACCTTGAACTTGTCCGCACATTGGAAAGATCTTCACGTCTGGACTGAACAGGATGCTCTCTTGTGTGTCCTATTCTCTTAGACCTCACCTCTTCCAGCTCCGTGTTTACTGATGGGAAACACAAACCCAGATTGACTAAGAACGTCCCGGTTTCCTCTGCCAGCCAGTGGCTGAGCAACACCACAGCCCAGTGCTCCCTATTCTGAGTCTGGGGCTGCCCCTTCCGGCATCTGCCCCAGGTAGCTCCTCCAGGCCTGGGCACCCCGCAACTTGGACTGTCAGAATCTTCACCCACATCTAGCTGAGTGTATCCGATCCCAGCTGCAGATTCCTGTGACCTCACCTGTGTTCTCAAATGTGCATTATCTCTCTGGGGTCAGGACCCAAGGGCTCAGAGACATCTTCTGTCCAACTGGCGCATTTTCTTTGGGCCTTCAGATCTCCGTTGTCTCACCTTTTTAGTGGGGTGCAAGTCGTCCCGAGTCCTGAGATTTTTTGCATGCTTTCGTGTTGGACCTCGCTGTTACTAAGCTGAACACAACAGGTTTAATTCCAACTCAGAACCTCATAGTTCAGTGCCTGGCAAATAGTAGGTGCATGATAAACGTTAGCCGTTCTTGTGTGGTTATCCTTAGGATGCCGCCGTAGGCAGGGCAGTGTCCTAGGCCCTGTGAGGGTCACAAAGCGTCCATATGTCTGAGTTGGGACAGACACAAATGAATAGACTGACTCGGTGGCTGTGCTTACAGTGTTTCAATCGAGCAGGGTGTGTAGCTCTCCTGCCCATTGCTGTGTGTGGCGCCCTCTAGTGGTACGCATTGTCAGCTTTTCTGCTTTGCGGGTACATATCCATTAACTAAGCAGGGAATTCGGATTTACTTTCTGTATTTGGGGGTGCAGTGGGTGACAGGTGGGGAGATGTGAAGGGTGGCTTCCCAGACCCAGGTTAGTGCTTCTGCATGCCTCAGCCCTTGCCTGCCCCACCAGTCCAGGTGTGACATGGGGCCTCTGACCTGGGTCTTGCCCGCAGGCCTGCCAGCTGAAGACCGAGACCATCACCTATGAGGAGAAGGAGCAGCAGCTGGTCAACGACTGCGTGAAGGAGCTGCGTATGTCCCTGGCCCGGCCTCCCCGCCCCCCACTCCCTCTTTTTACTTTCTCGAGTATGCCGTCATTTTGATTGGATAGTCTCCCTGCCAGCCTGTGGCTCAGTAGCATTTTTCTTAAAACTTGAGGCCTCTCTGACCTTGTGACCTTGTGTGGCACCTCCCTCCCTCCCCATTTATGAATTGGGTGCTAGGTTACCAGCCATACATTATCTCAGTTTCGTACTGAGATGGATGTTGTAATATTGGCTTTCTACTGGAATATTGCCCGGCTACAGAAACCTGTGTTGAAGATGTGGAAAAACTGCTTACTGCTAGTATTAATAATTTGATTTGTAGAAGTTGGGGCCAGGATTGTCAGCTTTGCAAAGACTTACCCCTACCCTCTTTATTGTAAGTTTACAAGTTAAGGCAAACGGGCAAAATGCTAAGTATTTTGCATTTTGGCAAAATGCTAAGTAAATGAAACACACCCCATGTTCAAATCTAGTTAAATGAGTTGTGGCTCTGAATATGGGTTGGAAACCCCAAGGGAATGGAATTGCACTGTACATCATCAGTACCTTTCTAGAACAGGGTGCAGCAGGGGTTTCTGTTAGTGATGTGGATTTGTTCATGGGTGGAACGTGGGAACTTTACTAAACACACCTGTGTTTGGTGTGGCACCTCCTGGCTGACTCCTGGAGCCTGCCTGATTTGCTTTAGGAAGACAGCCTTGGTCAGTGGGGTTGGGATCCCACACTGAGCCCAAGAGCAACCAACAGCTAGGGGACCAGGTTCCTTCTCATGACTGGTTGAGCCTTGAAGAAACCGCTTGGCTTCCCCATGCAGGAAAGTGATTACTGTAAGTTCCTTCCTCCTGCACCCTCTTCCCTCCTCTCCCCATCTTGTAATAAAGATGGTTTTTCCTGTACAAACCTTGAAGAAAACTGCTCTCTCTGGGTCTGTGTGTGTGGTTTCCTGACGTAACTCCTGTGATTATTGTATTTTTGTCAAAGGAGATGCCAACGTCCAAATTGCTAGTATCTCAGAGGAATTGGCCAAGAAGACTGAAGATGCTGCCCGACAGCAAGAGGAGATCACACACCTGCTGTCACAAATCGTTGATTTGCAGAAAAAGGCAAAAGCTGTAAGGCATTTCTCTGGCTGATACAACAGTGGCCATGCTGAGATGGGAAGGGACATTTACTCCAGAAGACAGTGCTCTTTAGTTTCATATCTTAGGATTTGTGCTGCCCCTTTGGAGAAAAAGCTTAGTACATTCAATAGTATAAAACTGGTTGCCCTGAATTGACGAGGAGTCTCATTTGTGACCACTTATCTCCTGAGAAAAATGTGCACATTAACAGAATTCATTAAAAGCATGCTGTTATTATGGAGTTTTATAATTTAACTTATGGATCATCTAGTCTAGTATTTGTTTCTATAAGTGTGCCCAGTGTGTTCTGCAGCAAAACAATATCCCCTTGAGATTTAAGATGAAGTAGCAGAATCAATTTAGTTTCTGGTATTAGACCTTTGCTATTAGTGTGAGGGGAAATGCTTACGGAGAGCTTTGGAGGTGGAGGTGGGTGGCCTACGGAGAATGAATACGGATGTAGGAAAGACTCTGCCTTCAAAATTGCATAAAAGACAGAATTCTACTTCAATGTAAGATAAACATCTCATTGTAGAAAGTGATGAGATCACAGTAGATCAGGAAATAGAGGGGAAAAGAAGGACTTACCTCAGTATCTTAGAAGATGATTTATCTCTGCCACATTTTAGTGCGCGGTGGAAAACGAAGAACTCGTCCAGCACCTGGGGGCCGCTAAGGATGCCCAGCGGCAGCTCACGGCCGAAGTGAGTATCTCTCCCTCATTTCTTCAGGGCCTCTGATCTCAGTGAGGGTAGATCAGCCTCCCTTGACAGCTTCGGTCATGTCCATCTTAACCGTTTTTATATTGAATTTAATTTCGTCTTTACTCATGAGGTAGTTCTCAGTTGCACCTGACTCTGTGCCCACCGGCACTGTTACTGGCTGCGAGCACCTGGGAGGCTGGGCTCTGCACCAGCTGAGCCTGCCACGTGCAGCTGCCCTGTAAATGTTCAAATAAGTGAAACAACCAACATGGAGCCCCATTCACAGATGTGGCTTGATACGAGAGTGGGACAATTTGCCTTTTCTTTTGATTGTAGTTGATTTTTTCACAGCTGCCTGTGGTTAGTATTTTAAAAGATTTCTGAGTCTGTAGGCTTGCCCCAAGTCAAACAAAAAGCAAGTCTTGCAGGCGCTTTGTCATTTAGCCACAGGCCCACAGGGCAGCCAATTCCAGGGGGTGCTGGGGACTCTGGCTGTCAGGTAGGTAGGTCTGTGCGCAGCTGGGTGCTCAGGAGATCCTGACCGTCCTCCTCTTTCCCGGTCTCCCGCAGCTGCGTGAGCTGGAGGACAAATACGCAGAGTGCATGGAGATGCTTCATGAGGCGCAGGAGGAGCTGAAGAACCTCCGGAACAAAACCATGCCCAACACCACCTCCCGGCGCTACCATTCACTGGGCCTGTTTCCCATGGTGAGCTGGTGATTTCTTCCCAACCGGAGGGCAGCAGGGACCCTGGCACTAGGAAGGTGGCGTCTGACAGTCCGACCACTGGAGTTGGGGCTTTACAGTTAGCTTCTCACTCTGCAGCTCGGATCTGGATCTGAGTCAAGGGTGCTTGAGCCCAGCTGATGGCTTCTTAACTACATGAGATGAAATTGCTTCTTTATTTTCCATCCCTCTAAATCTGTCGTCTTTTTCCTCCTGCCATCAAGAGATAAATTTAGTGGGAACCTCAGATATTTGGAAGATGTGACTTATACGGGTTGAGCATCTCCAGTCTGAAATCTGAAATGCTCCAAAATCCAAAACTATTTGAGCATCAACATGATGCTCAAAGGAATCAGTCATTGGAGCATTTTGGATTTCAGACTTCTGGATTAGGGATGCTCAACTGGAATGTATTCTGGAAAAATTCCAAAATCCGAAAAAAATCCATAATCCAAAACACTACTGGTCCCAAGCATTTTAGATAAGGGATGCTCAAGCTGTACCTAATTTTTTCTGACCTCATTAGAGTATGTGCTGTTTTAGCCTCAGAAGTGCATTCTGGAATTCCTAAAATGCCCATACAGTTTTGCTGATTCTTTATATGCTTAGTAATCATTTTCTTGGTGGCTTTAAGTATCTGTGATCTAAAAAAAAAAATTCTCTTTGTGCTTGAACTGGTTATTTTACATTTTTCATATTATTTCCCCACAATCTAATTTTTTAGCCCTGGCCTGATTTGTTTCTTGTTTGGGCTTTGGGGGAACATTGTTGAGAAGGGCATTTTCCAGGAGGTTAATCTCCTTGTAGGAGTTGGGCAACACAGGCTGAATCAAATGTTACAGGGGTATGAGCTCACTCATCTTCTATGAGACTAAAGCCCCTTGAAGGTGGGGACCAGGTCTTATTTGTAATGTTTTCCCTCTTTCAATACTGTGTACCCAGCACAGCGCTTGGTATGTTGTAGAATCGTGGACACTTAATGGATACTACATGCAGATGGATGGATGGTTGGATGGATAGATGGCTTGAAGAGTGAATTCCAAAGAACTCCTTTATATTCAGGTTTCACTTACATGGTTTGATGAAACAGCAAATTCTCTCTGAAGAGAGAAGAGCTTTAGAGAGAAACTCCCCCAAGTGAGATAGGAGCGGATGGCTGTATAAATGTGTGTGAAATTTGGTCCCTTCTGAATTTGGCCTTTCCTTGGAGCTCTCTTTCCCTTCAGCCTCCCATTGCCACCCCCAGCAGATACTGCCCCCACCCTACTCCTTGTCTGGCTCACTTTCCCTAAATCAGGATCTCTTTGCTTTGCTTTTACATGTCAAAATCAGGCTAGATCTTTCTTTCTCTTTCTCTCTTAACTTGGTTGAAATGTAAGAGAAACCAAAAAGAAAGACACAATCAGCTTTTCAAAGGGCAGATGGGTGATCCATTGATTCCAGGAATCCCAGTAAAAGCAGCAAAGAACACTCTGACCCCCACGTTCCCCGATCTAGCACTAACTGCACTCAGCTCACACGCTGGCCTGTGTAGCGCTGCGGGCTCCTTGCCTGGGTTCGCCTGCTTCCTGGCTCCTCATCTTGGTGCAGTGAGTTCCTGGGCACCCACATTCACTCCACTGCCTTACTCACTCTCAAGGACAAACCTTGTCTTTGAAAACTAAACCATTGCATGAGAACAGTTGAATTGAAAATTTGCATTTCAGTTTCTTCTGGAGGGATTTTCAGCTTTCATATTTGCTGAGGTAAAGCTTTTGTTTGCCTTTTTCTGTTGCTGTTGGGATAGCCCCGTTTTTAAAGCTGGCTATTTTAAAAGTGCATTATGCATTGAAGATATTTAAAGCAGTCTAAAGATTGCACCATGCAGAATGCCCAGATCCACCTCTTTTGCTCCCTGCCATTCTAATTGCTGAATAAAACAGTGAGTAGCAGTTTTTGCTCAACTGTGTCCCCAAGTCTCTTGCCTTATGGCAGGATTTCTTAATCTGGAGTCCACAGACTGAATTCAGGAGGCCTGTGAACTTTGAAGGAAAAATATATCTATTATTTTCATTACTTTTTAACTGTATTCAGTACTTCCTTCCTATGTGAAGGTTGACAACAAGCCACAGTGACATTAGCACCGCCCCTGACTCTGTCACAGTAGAAATCACAGGTGTTTTCATAGCACATTTCAGTTGTTACAGATGCCTCAAAATACCACTGATGCTAATCTCCACTTCAAAATGACAGTAATTACCAGTCCTAAAGCCATATATATGTATGTATGTATATCACAAATGTTATTATATTGATATAATTGCCTTCCTTCGTAATCCTAATAATTTTATTCATTTAAAAATATTATTCTGAGAAGAGGTCCACAGGCTTCCCCAGACTGCCAGAGGGGGAGGGTCATGGCCCAGAAAAGTCCGAGAGCCTGCTTATGACTTTATCCCAGCATTGCTTTGAAATTGCTATGTAAACAGTTGTTATTCTGTATTTTTTTATTTGTATATATTTTTTTAATTTTCCATCTGAGGTAGGTAGAATCCAAGGATATGGAACCCATGGATTGGGAGGGCCGACTCTAGAAATTTGATATCTTGTTTTTCTTAAGGCGTATGAAGCTCCCTTCATCTCTGTTTTGCAGGACTCCAAATGTAAATTATATGGTGAATAACAGTATTAAGAAAAATAAGCTGACTTGAAAAGATGTCAGACTCACCTAGGGAAGCCCTTTACCAGACTTACGTTTAGTGGCAATTTGTGGGTAATAATTACTAAATAAAATCGCATATTTGTGAATAAGAATTGAAAACAAGCCCAGCAGCCCTTACTTGATTGGGCTTCCTGCTGGCTCCTGTGGAGTCTCCCCACTTGGTTCCAGCCTCCAGACTGGCACGTCCCTGTGGACTGTGGGGCTGGGAGGTGGATGCCCTGGAGTCCCCATGTACTGTCTGCTGGGAGCCACTGGCCACAAGTGGCTATGTAAATTTTAATCAATTAAAATGAAACACAACTAAGAATTCAGTTGGTCAGTCACACTGGCCACATTTCAAGTGCTCAGTAGCTACCTGTGGTAGTGGCTCTCATATATACATGCCCCAGTGAAGAGAGAGAACATTTCCATCATTGTGGGAAGTTCTGTTGATTAACACGGATTTAGCTCTTCCCTTTAGGTTGTCCTGAGCTCTCCTGGTGCTCAGCAGGTGCTTTTGTGTGCACACTTGGTCCTGTGGGCATCCACCTGCATTGCGTAAGCGATTGTTCAGAAAAGTAGCAAAGACTTAAATGTGTTTGGGTGTCTGCTTGGGAGGAAATGTGAGATTCCTGGTGGAAACAGGAACCTTGCATTTCCTGAGCAGGTTGTTAAAAGGTGACAGGCCATGGATAGTTGGGGAGAGGAACTTCCCTTGTGGGAGGCCAGGGAGGACGAGAGCAGAGGCCTAGAGATGACAGTGCCCATGACTCAGGTCATGCACGTAGAGACCTTCTCTTCAGCACAGAGCCAGAGTGCCCTTTGGAGGTGGGGAGGGCTTGCTTGGGAGCCAAAGCTGGAGGGCCATCTGGGGATAGGGAACCTGTGGCCATAAGGTCACATGTGGCCTTCTAGGTCCTTAAGTGTGGCCTTTTGACTGAATCCAAATTTTACAGAACAAATCCTTTTATTAAAAGGGGTGCAGCAGAGAAAGATGAAGCTTTTCTTGCCTCCTTTGGCACTTAAAAAAGAACACTCTTGAAATCAGAAGGCCACAGGTTCCCCGCCCCTGCATGGTCTGTGCTAGAATCCTGGATGAGCCGAGGGATGCAGCAGACCCTGTAGACAACAGCTTAGCCTGGCATGTGGGCTGTGATGCCATGCATATCCCTGTTTGTAAGCTCGGAGGTATCTGGAAATTCACCTGTCCCCATCATTCTGAACATACTCTTCCCCCTGTAAGTTCTCTGTCCCTCCTTATAGCTGCAGTTGCAGCTTCATGATTTGGCCAAGGGAACACAGGGTCTGCTTTCAGACACTTAGCTGCATGTGAGTTAGGGGCTTAAAACTCAGTGCCTGATGATACGGCTACATTCAGAATCTGCCTTGGCGGTTGCTCAGCCAGGGTCTCCAGCAATGGAGGAAGCTGTTAGCCTTGTGTTGTGGGACCTCTGTGGGCTTCTGGTGGCTCAATTTACTGTACGTGGCTCACCTGGCTGCATACCTCTTTTAGAGACAGAGCATGTGAATTGCTGCTCACTTGGCGTGTGTCTTCTGGCTTTTCCCAGGACTCCTTGGCAGCAGAGATCGAGGGAACAATGCGCAAGGAGCTGCAGCTGGAAGAGCCTGAGTCTCCAGACATCACGTACGGCCAGTTTTTATTGTTCTGAGCCCCTCAGAGACAACTTGTGACCTGTGTTGTTCAAAAACCAGCAATGTTTGGGCCTCAGACACCAACAGTGATGACTGTGGTCCTTTCCGGTCCAGATCAAGGGAAATAATAGGACACAGCTGACAACATCCCTTAGCTCCTCTTATTAGGTTTTAAAGACAAATTATGAACTTCCAGAAAGTTCCAGAAAAGGAGAGATGTATTTCCCATCTCTCTTAACACAAGCTCCATCTTGACATAGCTGCACATTTTTACCTTTCCTTTCAGTGGAGAGCATTACTTTAAAAAATGTTTTAATGTCTGTTAGGAAAAGAAATATAGTGATGTGGTATGAGATACAGAGGGCGCCTCCAGGGGTGGGAGCAAGGCTTCCATCTCCTTTGTGAATATACCCAGGGACGTCGGCTTCTACTATCTCTCTTCCTACTTCAGATCTTGTGCTTGGCCTGTCCCAAGGTGTTTATAAGGAACCTGTGGACCAGGTTTCATCACGATTTCTCTGTACCCAAATTCCACAGACAGAACGTATATGAGATCCTGAGAGTGACAAGTGTCCAAGTGAGCTTCAGTGTATGTGTGTCACCCTCTGCAGCCCCTAAGGAAGTGGCTGTTATAGAAATATGCCTACCCATTTCTCTTTAAAAGAGAACAAATTAGCATCAAAATGTGGGTCTGCTCTTAGAAATAACAGTTTCTTAAAATAGACAAGTCTGGGATTTTTCATCTCACTGTAGAAATTTAAGACTAATTTTAGGTCATGGTTTTTTTTATGCGAATTGTCAAAAAATATCCATTTACAAATATTTATTGAGCCCTACCACATGCTACACTGCCTTCCTGGAGCCTGCATTGTGGTGCATATCATGAAATAAGAAAACTAGCTGAGAGACAGAAATAATACGTAAGTATTTTTATTTATAGGTCAAGCTTTAGGGATGTGAAAAGCAGTATCACTCTTGCTAGCACACAACTGTGCATTAGTGTCCTGGATTCAGTGGGTGTTGAGTGTCTCAAATTTCACGTTGTGGAGGAGGCCGCCAAACACCCTGAGAAACACGTGGCAGGCACAGGATAGCAGGCTGCTGGGGGCCTCGTCGTGGGCCAGGTGCCTTTTTGGCTCCTCAGTTGATAATTTTTGGAGGGTTTAACTCCAAAGTCATTCCTGCATTTGCTTATTCATGGGTGTTGTGCACTCTCTCCAGTCACCAGAAGCGTGTCTTTGAGACAGTGAGAAACATCAACCAGGTGGTCAAGCAGAGGTCTCTGACCCCTTCCCCCATGAACATCCCTGGCTCCAACCAGTCCTCGGCCATGAACTCCCTCCTGTCCAGCTGCGTCAGCACCCCCCGGTCCAGCTTCTATGGCAGTGACGTGGGCAACGTTGTCCTTGACAATAAGACCAACAGCATCATCCTGGAAACAGAGGCAGCAGACCTGGGGTGAGTGAGCTGTGAGTTTTTATGTTTCTGTTTTGGGGAGAAGAGAGGTAGTATGAGCGAATGCAGTTCAGTAATGGTAAGAGGGAGGTTGATGAGAATTGCCTGAAAGATACAAACATTACAGTTCCCCAGATCTGTTCTACCAACCCACTGAGCGTACGCATATCCTTGATACTGATATTTTAACCAGTTTAAAGAGGTATAACAAGATGATACCAGAAAGTCTGCTTTTCTATAAACTGCTAGAAGGAGAGGGATTAATGAATATTTCTTCTGTTAATCTTCACTGTTAGACTACAAAATAGACATTGTTTTGTGACCCCTCTGTACCTTGGATATTGGAAAAGCTGTGGAGGACTCAGGCTCTCTGTCTGCTGATCAGAATCTGGTTTGCTTCAGAAGGTGGGGTGCAGGGAGTCCCACAACTGTCTGTCATGCTGTGCATCTGTAGAGTGGGCCTTCCTCAGCAGCATCAGTTCCTCTTTGTCCTGAAGCCTTGCAGAACTTCCTCCCTCCACCAACATTGTCCACTTTGTGCACCCTTTTCCTTAATAAAATTGATTCTTCTGGACCGATTGGGTCAGACAGAAAACTCCTTGATCATAGCTGGGGTTTTTTGTTTTGTTTTGTTTTGTTTTTTGAGACAGAGTCTTGCTGTGTCACCCTGGCTAGAGTGCAGTGGTGTGATCACAGCTCACTGCAACCTCAAACTCCTGGGCTCAAGCCATCCTTTCGCCTCAGCCTCCCAAAGAGCTGGGACTACAGGTGTGCACCACCACGCCTGGCTAATTTTTTCTATCTTTAGTAGAGATGGGGGTCTCAGGCTGGTCTCGAACTCCTGACCTCAAGCCATCCTCCTGCCTTGACAGCCCAGAGAGCTGGGATTACAGGCGTGAGCCACCGCCTCCAGAGCTGGTTTTGTTCACAGTTGCGTTTTCAGCTCCTTTGCATCAAGGGGAAAGAGAAGCGTCCCTTGAACCAGTTGCCCTTCTGGTGGGCAGGAACTGCAACCTGCAGGTTTCTTCCTAAATGTTCCTGAGGGAGATGTTTAGAGCGACTGGATTTTACTTAGTATGTGCAAATTTTCATTCCATTTTAGTCGTCGACACCTCCCCCCCCCCAAGAAACCCCACAGAACCCTACTGAGGGGAGCAGTTGTTCAGGGCCGGCATTTGTCTCTGGTTGTCGCCTGCACGTCAGCAGCCCGTCTTTGCTTCCCAAGACGTCCCGCCACGCTTCCTCAGCGCCCCCTGCCGGTGGCCCGCTCTCACGCCCGTTTCTCCTTCCAGAAACGACGACCGGAGTAAGAAGCCGGGGACGCCGGGCACCCCGGGCTCCCACGACCTGGAGACGGCGCTGCGGCGGTTGTCCCTCCGCCGGGAGAACTACCTCTCTGAGAGGAGGTTCTTCGAGGAGGAGCAGGAGCGGAAGCTGCGGGAGCTGGCGGAGAAGGGCGAGCTGCGCAGCGGCTCCCTCACGCCCACCGAGAGCATCATGTCCCTGGGCACGCACTCGCGCTTCTCCGAGTTCACCGGCTTCTCCGGCATGTCCTTCAGCAGCCGCTCCTACCTGCCCGAGAAACTGCAGATCGTGAAGCCGCTGGAAGGTGACCGCAGCGGGCCCCGGCCCCTCTCCGCCCTGGTCGGCGACTCCCTGTGGGCCCTGCTGCACCTGCGGCAGGCGGGCCCCGTGTGTAACGCCTACTCCTTCTTCTTCCGCGACAGCCACCCGCGCTGCTGGTTCGAGTTCCTCTAGCCAGCGCAGGCGGACGGCGCCGGAGGACGGGCCGTCTGGTCCCCGCCTGTGCCTTTAGAACCTTAGAAATACAAGCCTTCCGTAGCGCGATGGGCGCTGCTGACTCAAAAATCGACTGGGTCAAGCCTGGGGGGATCTGAGAAGTGCGGAGAATTAAGGCTTTGGCTTGTCAGAAATTTGATGCCAGGGAGGGGTGCCAAGCAAATGCTGTTTTTGTTTTGGTTTTTTTTCCCCCCAATAGCCACCTGAAAATGATTTGTGGTCTCACGTGTTCTGATTTGATCTCACACATTCTGATTTGTAGAGTCCGAAATTCGGCCAGGAAGCGGGTGGCTGTGGAGGGAAGTGAGTTCTGCACCTCCAGCGGCCCTTCGCCAGGGGCAGTTCACGGTTTTAGTATTAGGGGCTCCTCGGATGATTAAATTCATGGAAAAACTGCCTTTCTTCTTTTTTGTTGCTTTAGGCATTATAAAACGTTTTTTCGTTTACCTACTACCACCCCTACCAAAAGCTACCAAGCGTTTGTATTTTTCATTTTGTATTCTTTTAGTTTGGAAACCCATATGAATTTGAGAAGGTGTTTTAGAATTCTCTGTTACATTTCTAATACAAAGCCAAATCAGAATTTCTATGAGGCAATATTTCTCAACTTTCTGAAAATTATTGCCCCCTGTAAGGAGCCTTTTTAGACATTTTTTTCCTAATCTTATCCCCCTCATGAACTTTTAATAACACAGATATATTGTTGTACTATAACGTATATCTGTGCTCTGTGCCTGAAAAGAATACAATTATTTTCACTTCAAAATAACCTGTGTTTGTCCCCTTGGGGGCAATATTGCCCCTGTTGAAATTGCATGCTGTAAGGTGAGGTTGTGCTTGTAAAAGACCCGAGACATGAGCGGGTCCCATATTCTCCTAAGGAAGGAAGAGCGGGCTATTTAGTTTTTATGATTACTTTTAAATTGTATAATTGAGGTGCTTCCTAGAGTTCAGAAAAGGTATGGCTCATTCTTTTTAAATTGTTTATTTGGTTGTAAGCTTGGTGATTGTTTGCTGATCCACATTATATCTGTTTTTCTTTCAATAAAATCTTTCATTTCTGCAATTTTATTTTCCGCCTTACTTTTCTTTTTTTCTTCCTTTGTCTCTCAAAGATCATTGGAATTTATCATCTCTGCCTTGTCTGCTTTCTATATTTGATTCTGCATTTCATTAGATCTTCCAAGAATATGTTTTTGGATTAATTTTCAAAGCACATCACAAGAAGAGATTTTTAAAAATTTGTTTTGACCAATTCATCTTTATTTCTTTTGATCTTGTGACTTAGTGGTATTTTTGTGATCAGTTAATAAAAATAAGAGGAAATCCTATTAGATTGGCAAGATGAATTTTATCTATAGTACTCTGCTCCCCTGGAGGCCAAGTCACTACCATTAAAAAGTCATGACTTACCACTATGGTCTGTAATATATCCTCATGATATAGGTCCATTGGGCTCCATTTTGTAGTTCTGTCTTCTTAGCTGTTTAAAATACATCCAGTATTTTCTTTCTTCCCTCCCCTCCCAGTTATTTTTTGTGTTACTATGTTAAATTTGATAAGGTGGGGTGCTGACATAGAAGTCTGCCTGACTTCAGGTTCAGCACAGCTCTGTGGTGTTGGATAAGTTACCCCACCTTTTGAGCCCTGTTTCCCTTAGTTATCAAATAGGCTCATAGCTATCAAACACGATTGCGGTGAGGAGTGAATGTGATGTGTTTTGTATTGCGCCTGGCACCTAATAGGTGCTTATTAAACTTGGGCTCCCCAAACTTGTCCCTATTCTGGCAGCTCAAGTCTACAGGGCCAAGATACTGGTGTTGAGACCTGGACCAGCATCCTGCTAGGGTCATATTCTTACCTTATCCTTTTCCATTGGCCTGCTGAGAAGCTGATAGGATTCCCATGATCTCCAGCAGCCCAGGGAAAAGTACCCTGGAGAATGTTGGCTGGGATCACAGTAGATAGCCAATCTGTGTCTACCATCTATGTCTCCCTTACCTGTTTAATAATCTTGCCATCTGCTTATTGCGTCAGCCAAAATAGCTGAGCTAGGTGTTTAAGAATGCTAGCACTCTTGTCTCTTCATCTTACCTGATAAGTTTTAAGCAAGTAAACAACAAACATTCAAACTAGAGAAAGAGAGATCTGTGTTAAAAAGACTGAGGCAGGCGGTATTTCTTTTCCTAAATTTTGCTCTTCCTTTCTGATTAATTATAACCATAGTAGTATTTCCAGATAAACACTGTGTAATTAAGAGAAAGTATATACTTCTAAGCTGTGCATTATTCCCCAAGTTTTGTTCTTTTAAGTCCTGGCTGCTCCTCTGACATCAGTGGGTTTGGTTTTCTTCTCCTTTGATGATGTGGAAACTTTTTAGCAGGAACACTGGGATGTAGAGGGAAAGGGGCAGTGGCCATCGTTAGGTTTCCCCTGCTGTCCACACCCTTGTTCCATAGAACTTTATCTTGGTGCCAACCACAAACACGAAGGTTCCTCTCTTTCCTTGTCCTGTTGCCTAATCCCTGCCTCATTTTTATGTGGGTGGGAGGAGTGGGCCAGTGTTATGTTGGGAGTTGGCAATGGGAGGTAATACAGTGATTCTCCAGCTTTGTGTTTGACAAGCAAAGGCAGCCAGGCTGAGGGATGAGCTGGGGAAATGGATAGGGAAGAGGCAACCTGGGCTCTGACTGAGATGCGATTCATATTCAATTTTAATTTCTGTGCCCTCTTGTGTGAAAGGAGGGGCTCGGGCAGCCAGGAGATGGGTAGAATTTCTTGCTGGTGGCTCAGGCAGCAGGGAGGCGAAGTGTGAGATGTCCTGCCCAGGTGCTGGGCTTGGCAAACCCTCTAGGGGCCTTGGGACCAGCCAGGAGTGGAGAGAGTCCATGAGCCCCACAGCATTACATAACTGAAATAGCACAGCAGGGTTTGAGAAAACACCTGCGTGGGGGTTAGAAAAGCATTCAAGGGAGTTATCAATTAGATTTCTGAGACTTGCATATGTGAGGCCTCTTCACTGCTGAGAGCCAGTGCAGAGGGGTTGAGAGTGGATACTGGAGCCAGCCTCAGTTTCAGTCCTGGATTGGCCACTTGCCAGCTGTGCAACCTCTGGCAAGTTACTTTACCACTCTGCACTCAGTTTCTTCATCTGTAAAATGGAGATGGCAGGGTTATTGTGAAGATTTAACAAGTTATAAGTGTAGACCTCTCAGAAGAGTGCCTGGCACGTAGTAAGTGCCCGATAAAGGTTAGCTGTTCTTACGTAAGTAAGGGATGTCCAAAGCATGGGGTAAAAATCCATGTATGATGCATGTTTCCACATCTTTTAGTTGTAGTTAGAGTCCTTGGCTATGCAGTTTTAGGGAATGCACTTCTGTAGCCTCCTTAATGCCACACATCAGACCCTTTGTAGCCTGCTTTCTCTCTCGAGCCCATCCTTGGGAGGTGGAGAGATGAGTCAGTCTGTTGAATAGATGGAGGAACGTGGCCTGTGGGCCTCTTGTTGGGGCCCCGACTTCCAGCCTCCAAGTTCTTTCCCTGTGGACTGTGGACATCTCAAGCCCCTTTCAGAAGGACCAGGAGATGAGGCTTTTCCTTGCCGTGGTCCTTCACTTTCCAGAGTCTGTTGGCTTTCCCTTTCTTCCCCTTCCAACATTTGAGGCGATGTGGCCAACTTGTACCTGTGGATTTCTCATCATCCTTCACAGACCCCAGTGTGTAGAGCTGGACATGACAATGGCTTCCTTAAGACTTCTCCCTTGCTAAGACTTCTCACCGGCCTGTGCAGCCAGTGAGCACATGGACAGGGGCACATTGGGTAATGTGAATGGGGGTCCCCATGGGTGGCAGAGAATTCCCATCGGCAGAAGTGCGTATCTCCTGGCAGGCCCTGGACACCCACCGGGAAGTTTTGCTGCTGACCGTTTATGCAGCTAGGGGCCAGGGCTTCTGGATGGAACACTGAGTCCTCGTTGTTTTCCAACCTGTGGATTTGGGTGAGTGTGGTCAGTGTGAGATTACCGAAAGAACCTGGCCTTTAGCTCTGAAGCCTGGCCGTGCCACCACTAATTAAGTGACTTTGTAAATTTGTCTAACTTTAGACAGCCTCTGCTCCCCCATCTTTAAAGTGTATAATATTACTTAGTTCATAGGGTCATTTTGAGGAGTGAGTTGATGCAATACATGCAGACAAACTGCCACACAGGCATGCTTCAATACATGGTAGCTTAATTAAAAAAAATAAATGTGGTGGCACCTGGGACTCAAAATCCCGTGAGCTGGTCTCAGCAGGTCTGTGAAGTCCTGGCAGTGTTGGACAGTGTTGCTGGCACGCAAGCTCTCTTTCTTTGGGGAACATGTCCTCGCCAAAGGGAGCTCTCGTGCTTCCTTCAGATTCTCAATATATCTGAGAGTTAAGAACCACAGCTCTAGAGCAAGGTTTCTTGATGTTGGTGCTGTTGACATTGGAAGCTAGATCGTTCTTTGTTGTGGGGCCTGTCCTGGGCATCGTAGGATGTTCGGCAGCATCCCTGACCTCTTCCCACCAGATGCCATTAGCATCCCCCTCTTCCTCCACAGTTGTGACAACCAGAATGTTTCCAGACATTGCCAAATGTCCCCTGGGGGTAAAATCATCCCTAGTTGAAACCACTGCTCTAGATATATATTGCCACCTAGTGAGAGAACAGGTATGTGATGCCCTCTTTCATTATATTCACTCTTAACTATCTTACTTCTTTTCTTTTTTGCATTTGGAGTATTTTTTATTTATATTCAATAGATCCAGATTAAGCAGATTGCTATTATACACGTACAGACATGAAACTGGGATAGACCTTGAAGTGGGTGTCTAGGAACTCTTTAAACATGTATTAGCAGTACGTATGGTTTTTTTTTTTCTTTAAAGTGGATTTGAAATTGCCCACTTAGAAAATTTTTTCAACCTTCCTGGCTGAGATTGTTCCTGCCTGAGAAGTTATTTCCCAGTGGTGTCTGGGCACACAAGAAGGTCCTTCCTCATCCCACCACCCTTCTTTTATTTTGGCTTCCGAGCTGCTGGTTCCTAGCATCCCTGGTTCCTTTTCTTCGCTCCCCAGGGCAGCCTGGTAGCCTGAGGGGATTCTCGCCTACCCAATAAGTATACCCTTGGTAAACCCATGGCAACCATCTGGGCGTCCATTTGTGTGGGCATCCATTGTGCTCCTGCCTTCTGATGCCTGAGAACCTTTTCAAAAGTGTCTTTTGAATGTAGAATATTTGTTTGTGTGACTATCTACACTTGGTTGACTTCATCTGTAGAATGGGGCTAGAACTCGGCCTCATAGTCCATCCACCAGTATGACCAGCATCACGTGAGGTGTTTGTAAATATTCCAAGGGGAAAAAAGGGTTGCTTCGTCAAATGGGTTAGGCAGAAACCCAGGGCATTATAGCATGCTAAGGGTTCTGAGATGCCCCTCTGTAAATATACTTCTTAACCCAGGTTTCCTGAGCACACTTGGCCTTGGAATGCTTCTCTTTGGAGAGCACCTGTGACACCTTGAGGTCCTTAGGGACACACTCTGGTGTTATTACAGACCTTGTGCGATGTCATCTGAGTCCTAGGGTCTGGTGTCACCGAGGAGATGGGCTCCTCTGTTTTAGACCTCTTTGTGAACTTAACCATGTTCTTAAATCACACCTCTTTAACCTGACTCCGCTTCCTAAGCCTGCAGCCCCTTGAGGTTGCTGGCAGCATACAGAGAACCTAAGTAAAGGAGGTGATGGTCACACCTATCACTTATCTCTGTGTGCTTCTTTAATTTCTTTTTGCTTTTCTCTCGTTGTGAGTCCTGGGGTTGGTTTGCCATTACCTTATTCTGCCTGAGCTGTGTCCTCCCTGTTAACCAGCAGTCTGTATTTGGCATCAAATTGGTACCCGTGGCACCTTTCTTTTATGTTAATCTTGCCATTTTTTCCTCTTCTATTTGTAAAATGATAATGTATTGAATTTGGGGGTTGACATCAGTTGATTAAAATAAAGACTTCGTAACCAAATCCTCTTGGCACAGAGTATGGCTTTAATTTTACTTTTTTATAAAATTGCTGATTCTTTAAATTGGTTCTCCTTCTGGGCATGGTAGGATCTTAGCTACTGTTGCATGGCAGGAAGGGCCAAGGCAGCTCCACCAATGTTCCCACCATAGTGCGCCTATAAAGGCTCAGGTCTTGCTGGGTTCACACTAAGCACTTTGATTTTGGGAAACAGCCATCATCTTAGACTTCCATCCTAACCCTCTCTTCTCCCTGCCCTCCCTTCTTCTCTTCCCTTTCTCCTGGAAGGTTCTGCCACTCTTCACCACTGGCAGCAGTTGGCCCAGCCTCACCTTGGGGGCATCCTGGACCCCCGGCCTGGGGTGGTCACCAAGGGCTTCCGGACGCTGGATGTTGACCTGGACGAAGTATACTGCCTTAACGATTTTGAAGAAGATGACACAGGTGACCACATTTCTCTCCCGGTCCTAGCTACCTCCACACCAGTTCAGCACCCAGAGACCTCAGGTGAGAGGTCCCGAGCACACGTGACTGTCTCAGGCAGCAGAAGTTACCGAAGCCGGCCTCAGGCTTCCCCAGAGGAGATGCAGGAGCCGCCAGCGGCCGCGGAGGAGGAGGAGGAGGAGGAGGAGGAGGAGGGGTCTGGTGAGGGCACCACGATAAGTCCTGTAAACTTGGCACCTTTCCCGGAGGCAGAGTTCTGGGCCATTCTCACCTCTGTTCCGGGCACCATCCGTAGTGGCTCTCTGTCTGTAGCTTCCGCTCGTCTGTGTGGGTGACGATTAAAGCATTCCCATTGCGCGGTTCTGTTTTTAAATACAGATCTGATGCCTCCTATTTGTAACAAATGGGTGTAGCTCCCTGCCCATTTTGGAGGTGCATGGCCCAGCAGGGCTCTTTAAGTGGGAGCAGGAAAGGCTGCTAAAAAGAAGTGGATTATTGGGTCCCTGGAGAACATCAGCGCCCTTCTCCCTGTGTCTGAGGAGCAGATTCTCAAGTCCCCTGGTGATTTCCAAACTGAGCTAAGCTGGGCAGTTTTAGGGAAATGATGACTGCTGGGTCATTCAGAAGGTGAAAGAGAGATGCTATTACCTGTATGCTGTATTAAAATAGAAAGAAGCCCAGGAAATAATCAGGATTTCAGACCAACATTGATAGATCAGCCTTTTTACTTTCCTAACTTCAATGAAGGTACATATGTTGTTTTCTTTCTAGCTTGTACGTGTATTCAAAGTGGATTTTGAAAAAGCGTTTTAGCAATACTCCTTAACTAAGCCCCAAGAGACTGTCATTAAGCTTTTCTAGACGGAGGACACTAGATGACTCTGGAAAAGAGCTCTGCCTGACCTCCCCCTCCCCCTAGCATTAAAGGTTTGGCCCTGAGTTTGAAGAATCACCAGCTGAGACAAAGCTTTGTACTCAGGGCCCCTGGGAATCTCGGGGTCATGTGGTTACTCTTTACCCCAACCGTATGCTTTGGCCCAACTTCAGGACCTCTCAGTTCCTTGTGCTTGGAGACAGAGCTCTTGTGGGATAAGGTTAGACCCAGAAGAAGATGAATTAACCCAATGTTATCATCCTCATAACATCCATGAGTCACCAAGTTTGAAGAAAGGATATATAGCCTTGCGACTCATGATTTTCACTTGTGAAGGCCACAACACTCCCCCAGAAATACAAGGCAGGAAAGAGCTGAGGCCCTTGGTAATGTCTCGTATCCCCTGGCTAATTTCAGATAGCTGTGGTCAAGGGACTTTATTTGGAACCCACTTTTCTCTTTTTCTTTGACATAAACTTTAGAGGAGTCATCAAATAAAACAGATTTGTTTAGCACATAGGTTTGTTTATGGTTTGGTTGGGTTTTTTTGTTTGTTTTTGTTTTTTAGCAATGATCAGATTAAGCATGCCAGGGAATGAAAATGTTTCTTATTTCGTATCTACACACTCAAGAAAGGGAAGAAAGGGAAACCAGCCGTGGCATCGTACCTCTCTTTGTTATCTGGAAGGCAGGCAATGGTGCAGAAACACAACATCTGGCTGATTTCTGTGGCTGAAGGGGGGTAGGCATCGTGTTAAGTGGGATGTCCTCGCTGCAGTCTGACAGGTAGAATAGAAGTCGAGTCCTAGAAGTTCAAAGAAGCACCATTAGGTGCATCTTTGAGAAGTTGTACAGAAGGAATAAAGCTTATTAAGTCAAAAAAGAACTTCTCTCAGAGGACAGAGGGAGAGAGGGGACCACTTATGAGGACTAAAGTCCTGACTGCTTTCCTCACCATAAACAGAGACATATTTTGTGCTTGTTCCCTCCTTACTCAAACCTGCAGCTCAGTCATCCCAGCAACTTTATTTGAAAAGAGGCATGAACATTTACAATTGAAACTGTAGAAGGGGTAAGGTTGGAGGTGTGTGATCAAAAAAGAATTATCTGGGCTGCTGAAGGTAATTTAGGAAGGATCTGATCATTTAGAGCAAAGTTCTTTCGGGCTTCGTTTCTGGGTAAGACTCAGCTTTAAAAGCTGGGTGCAGAGGGAAACCATAAACAGTGATTTACCTCTTTTTTCTCTATTGGGAATGACAGGACCATTTTGATTCTTAGAACTTGAGATGCACATCAGTCTCTAAATAAATCACCCCGGAGGCTCCGAGTGGCTCTATGCCACAGTCATGGAGTCACAGACAGATGGGCTTCAGGAGGAGGCCAGGGCATCTTCTGTCTTAGGGTTTGTATCCAGCGTGGGCTGGGGCCTGCCTTGGTCTGTCCTCAATGCTTGGGCTTTTCTGTTGCCAAACAGTACTATCCCAGGAGCTGCCATCTGTCTGGGAGGACTCAGTAGGGAGACAAAACTGGTATGATGGGAGGAAATTTGGAAGACTTGTATATTAGGCACTTTTATCTAGCACCTGCTGTCCCATGGAGAAAAAGTTTTGAGCACTGAAAAAAATTATTAATATATTTTAATGTATTATTTGAAGCATCATTTGCTGATTTTTAATATCCCATGTCTTAAAAAGGATGATTCCATGTTATTGTACTATAAATAATTTAGATGATTAAAATGAATTATTTAAAACAATTTTTAGGTTATAGTTTTACTTTATTTCAGTGACATGTTTTATGTTTTAATTCATACAGAAAGTACACTGTATCAGAAATAAGCATTATCCTGTCCTATGAATATTCAATTTTAGGCATTTACGTGTGGAGGAGAGCCCGCTTTGTGGTACCTGATTAAGAGTTACAGTTGCACAGTTAAATCAGTAGTTGGCTAGTGGGATGGACAGTTCAGTTGAATTATCTTGACCCTTAAGAGTGAGAAAGAGGTAGGAATAAAGCCAAGTGACATTGATAGAGTGAAGGTGAGTTAATTTTAATACTCATATACAGGGAGACTATTTCATGTGGGGGAAATATTCTAAAACAAGCTCATGGCGTCTTCTCTGGCAGTGGCCCTGCAGTGGAGCTGTGTCATAACTGGGGCTGAGATCCTACAGTCAGTGTGGAAGGCAAAAATCATACTTGGTCAAAATCACCCTGGAAAAACCCTCTAAATCTCCTGCATCTGGGCATGCAGGGAAAAAGCCAAGAATTAGCCTCTTTTGTCTCTTCCTCGTTGGATACCTGGGTCCAAGCTCTGCTCATGAGCAGCTACTGAGTGAGGGAAGGGAAGAGAACAGCTTGTGTGGAAAGGGGCCAGACAGTAAGGCCAAAGCTGAAAATTCCTGCAGCTTTGCCTGGTGGCAGGGCCAGTTAGAGCAAAGCCAAGCCAGCCTGTATCCTGTCTTGCCTTCACTCCCTCCACAGGCCACAGAAGCAGGGTCCAGATAGGCCTGTGAGGACAAGTTGGCCTGGGGGCTCCATGGATCTGAAAGGAAACATCTGGTACACTCAGTTCACAGACCCTTGGGTGTAGGGAAGTTTCTTTCCGTGGTCTCCACCGAGAGTGGTGGTGACTTCCCACTCTGATGGGAACGCCTGTCGATCCAGGGGAGTTTGGGCGTTATGGAGAGGGTGGATGGTCTGCTCACGCCCACCTGTATTAGGAGATGCAGAGGAAGCCCTTGGGCTCTTGCACAGAATGTGCGTTAAACCAGAGCAAAACAGGCCAACTACAACCCGGAAGTGGAAAAATGAACAAAGAATGAGAGCATTGACTCCTCCAAAACAAATGGCATAGAGGCAACCCTGCTTAAAGTTTCTTGAACAAAGCCCACTTCTTGAAAGCGGTTTCTGTGTGGCTTCCTCACCCCTGAAAACCACAGAGAGCCCTCCAGCGCTCCTAGAGGCACCAGCGTGGGTTTCAGAGCAGCAGGCGTCTGCACCTGCCACTTTTCTGACGTGGTCAGGGAGCGCGCGGTGTCCAGGTCTGGATGAGTTGTACTGCTGCTCTGCCTGGGGAAGCTTGGGAGAAGTGCTCTCGAACTGGCTTTGAAATTGCCAACAAGGAAAGGTCTCAGTGCAGCTCAGCCAGGCCAGCTCCCTGTGCCTGTTGGTGTCTGCCAGAGAAGGAGGGACAAAGGGCATGGGCTCCAGCCTTGTTGTCCTGGGAAGGATCCAAAGAGACTTTTGCATTTGCCCTTTTGACATTTTAACAGCCTTCAAAAAAATCCCCTTTTCTCTAGAGGATACCCCAAGGGCACCCAAGAGAATTTCTGGCCCTCTTTGTGGGATGCTGTGAAATTGTTCATGTCTTAAATCACATACTTTTTAGATGAAACTTGGTGTAGTGGGAAGAGTAGACTTTTAATTTTGCGGAAACCAAAAATAAGTTGTACCGAAACCAGAGAAAGATCTCACGATATGGTTCAAAATCTGTGATAAAAGCCTCCTGAGTTCCTGCGGGCCAGATGTCTGATGGCCAGGGGGGTCACAGGTCTCTACAGAGCTGCAGGACCAGACGAGGGCTCTGTTGAAGAGATACTTAAGCAGAGAGAAATAGTAAACGAGCCAATGTTAAGCCTGGAAATGAGGGATTAAAAAATATCATCCTGTACAAATACTTTATAGTTTAAGATCACTTTTATCCTATTACAAAGAAAGCTGCACTGCCACATCTAAAACTGCTCTTGTTTCCCCAGTCCCCTCCTCTAGAGGAAAGTACTCGTTAAAGCTGCATTAATCCCTGACACAGTATTTATATTAGTGATGAATCATAGGGCGAGCAAAAGCGTTATGGAGCTTTTCCCACATGAACTCATCACAGAACTTTTTTCCCCCCAGAAAATGTCATGGGTAGAGTTATATAATGAAGTGACAGAAAAAAGTCTTCAAAGCATTTTCTGTGCCTTGATATTTTAGTCTTTTAGAAGGAATTCTGAGGCATGGCTTCTTGCCTATTTGTTTAATGAGAAGGGAGTTATTTCTTACATAGCTGACAGGCGAAGAAACATCTTCCTTCCCTCTCTTCACCCCTCAAGCAAAAGGCAACAAAGTCATTAGAAGCGGGGCATTAAAAAAATGCTGATATTCTTAAGGCTTAGTTCAAGCCACGCCTTTAAGCTGGGTGGACAATGGCTTTTATTTTCAGTAGACTTGTTTTTGCTTGGGTAGAAAAGGCTGGCCTGTGGGTACCACTGTTGGGTGGGGGGTGTTGCTTAATGAGTTTATAGAACTTGCAAGGCAGATCCAGAGCATGTGACGGCAGCATCACACACTACATGTTCAAGTGAAGAAAAGGAAAGAAAGGTCAGGGGCATTTGGTTTATTTTACACAAGTGGCCGCTTCCCGTGAGGAGTTTGGCAAAAGAACATGGAAGGCTGTCAGTGCATCGCAAAGACGGGGTCCCATTTTCCAAGATTTTGAGATGTTTTGTAATTTTTTTTTTACATTTTTAGAAGTTATTTATGTGAAATTTTAAAAATATAGCTTGGGAGTGTGGCATGGCCAGTGTTTCTCCGTCCTCAAAGGTCTCCTTGAAGCAGCTACGTATGGGTTGTGTTGTGCTGCCCCATAGAAACACACCAAGCGCAGCTGTATTCTCTGACGTCCCTGTGGGCTCATGTGGGAATTCTTTCAAGGACTAGGTTCTATGATTGCCTTCGGAGAGAAGAAAGCTGCTTTTATCCCAGCACGTTACCAGTCTGCCCTTCCCCGTGGATGGGGGAAGAAAAGCACTACTAGGACTGAATGAAACGCAGGAGCTGGTGTGTACAGAGCGTCTGGGAGCAGCTTCTGTGGCAGAGTTCCAGTCACCCTCCAAGTCCCCATGGAGCCCCTGGGCCCCACCAGTGTCGCACCTTGTCTGTGTTCTTTTCTTCTCTCACGGAAAGCAGTGGGCTTTCCTGCCCCTGGGAGGCCTGAGCATTCCACACAGCAGCAGCCACCCGGTCTATACAGCGCAGGCTGCAGGGCATCCAGGGAGGAGGCCCCGACTCTGTTGGAGACTGGGGGCCACGTCAGGGCCCCTTCATCGCTGGCTGCAGCAGCAGGATCCCAACCACCGGGTTTTCTAGTCAGTCCCAGGCATCACAGGCCCCCGAGGAGCAGGGGGAGTCAGTGCCACTTACGATATGCACCTGCTCCAGCCAGAAAGTGCGCCAGAGTCCACCTGAGGGCAGGTGAGCAGGAGGACTCTCACCCTGTGAAGTCCTCTCACGCACCCACCTGCGGCTGGCTGAAGGCTGTGTGCTTGCGTGTGGTATGTTTTCAGAACAAAACATGTGCATGCTGGTCCACCAACAGAGAAGATCTTGAATAATCGAGGATTGATTAAATTTACAGCTATCAAATTTTGTGCCAGTGTCAGAACCTGGGGGAAGAACAATTAAAAATAATGAAAGACTAGGGTTTCTTATTGGTCAATGCAAATTGATTCCTAAATAACACGGTGAAAGTACTTGTCATTGCCAATACTGTAACCTGTGTAATGTCTGCCCATCTCCTCACAACACTCTGAAGCCAGGTTGAGAGAGAGAATAAGTAGGAAGTTAAAGCGTTACATCCAAAAAAAAACCTGTCCTTGGAACCCCCAAATTGAGCAGCATGAGATGAACACATAATACCTGCAAAGAACTTCTGGTTTAGTTAAAGCTTTGGTGTGTGGTGTGGTCCTGGTGACTTCAGTGGTGAACCCTCAACCACGTGTCCCCGACTCCCTGCCAAGAAGAATGTTTTATGTGCCTCTTGTTTTCCTTTTTCAGAACTTGCTCTCTCCCTGCATCCAGGGCTTTGGGAATCAGCCTGTTGCTTCTCTGTGGCAAGCACGAGGAGCCTCTGGCGAGCCCAGCCTTGGGCGACTCACTGTGTCTATGTTGTGTCCCAAGGAAGGGTGGTGCAGCAGCGGCCCGGCAGTCAGTGGTGACGCGCAGAGAGCTCGCGGGTCCAGGCGTCCCTGTGGTATTTTGGAAGGGCTGAACCTCTGGCTTTGGCACTTGATACTTGGTGATCTTCCTTGGTCTTCTAAAGCTCTTCATTACTTCTGGGGAGCGGTGACTTGTGAATTTTTAGCAGCCTTTTCCTATCCCCAAAACCCATTTGCATAAGATGGGTTTTGCTTCTGCTGATGCAACTATGTCTCTAAAATGTCCATCTTACACTTCCTGTTATGATTGAAGATCTAATACGTGAGGTGGGGGAGGCGGATGTGAACATTTGGGACCTTTTGATTTGATATTCTGGCCATGTGTTTAAATGGTGTACACTTCTGATTTTAAATCCAGCCTTATTTGATTTTTTTTTAATGTTATCTGTCTTTCAACTATTTTGTCTTAATTATTTCTATTTCCTGCTTCTTCCTCCCTTCCTTCCCAAATAACCCCTCATACCTATTATTTGGGATGCTTTTCTCAGGCATTTTGTTGCTTTTGTTTCTAGACCTTATTGCAGTAAGAGAATCGTGATTGTTTGGTTGCCTTTTCTTCATAGCTTATTCCATTTTTGTTTTGCTTGCAGCAATTTCTTAGTTATTGGAGTTCCAAAACCATTACGTTTATTGGTCGGGAGACAAAGATTCGTAAAGGCTATTTTTATGTGTTTTTTCCCCTCCCTTCCCACTTTGCCCAGGGCTCCCTGTGGAGAGTTTGCTCTCGCGGTCCTGTGTTGGCTGTCCTGCCAGGTGCCACAGGGGCCTCCTTTGACACAGAGCTGGGTCAGACCATGATGGGGCAAACCAGCCTTGCCTTGCTCCTCTAGTCACTGTCACCATTTTTGTGCTCTGGATTTGTCCTGCCTGCTTCAATTTGTTTGTCTCCAGCATTTTTTTTGTTTGTTTCACCTGGTTCCCGGTTTTCTTTCAAGACACAGTTAACGGTGTGTGGATCCGTAGGTTTGGGACGCCAACTTACTCTGTTTTGTTTCCCTTTTCCTTTTTGTCAAATCCAAGAGAACACTTACCATAAGGAGCTTGAAGATTCTAGTTCACAGCCTTTTGAATCTTCATGCCCTCTGAATCCTCATGGCCTCTGATATCCTAATCTGTTTTCTCCCAGGAGGTCTCTGGGGGCTGAGCTGCTACAGGGGCAGAGGGGAGGGAAAGGGAGGGGTGCAACAATCATCCCAGTACTTCATTGTGCATGCTATTTGGTGCAGCATCTTTTTTTTTTTTTCTTTTTTTTCCCCTGATGCCTGAGTTATGAATGAGGTTGACCTCTACAATCATGATGTCTCCCATAGCCTCTATTACTCATTCCTTTGCCAGCTTTCTCATGCATGGTCCTAACACTTCTGTGATTTACTCTGCTCCTGAACATAGTCCTCAGCTGCCTCAACAACTTGTTAGAGCATTAAAAGGAAGTAAATTGAGGACAGCGTGTTGCCCTCTCATTTTCATTAGAGTCAGACGTCACAGAGATGACAAGAAAGCAGCAGGGGCCAAGGGGGGACCATGCTGCTTGTACCACTGTGTGTCAGACCAGACTCCATCCTGGAGCTTAGCACCCCAGAGAGCCCCAATCTCTGGAACTCTTGCCACGTCGTCGCTGAGGCAGCTGAGGTCCTCATCTCCCACCATGACGATCACAAATAGGCAGTAGTGGAGCCAGCTTCCCTAAGCCCCTTTTTGTGTGAACAGAAAAGGGAGCCATGAGCCTTGCCCTGTTTCTAGGCACCAAGTGCCTTTCCCTGCCTGCACCTCTCCCCTTCCTCGAAGCAGAGTTTTGGCACCTGTTTACCAATGAAAACAAATACAAAGCAACAAAAGAAGATAGCAGATTTTGACCCGAGGAGGGAAACCAAATTTACACACAAAGGCCCTTTAACGCCCCCTCCCTCCAACTGGATCCACTACTGGCCAAGAATACTGATGAGGAACCTTGTCTGGATTGGGTCGGAAGCTGGAATTCTATGCTCTGCAGACCCCTGCTCAAAATTGTAGTTATTTTTTGAGGAACCACCTTCAGTCCAGAACATGTGTGTTTCACCTTCCCTGCCCAGATCCAGCCAACAAGGTAGCTCATCATTTCTTGCATCGGTTGAGGGTCATGCTGGATTTTTATTTTTAACGTTGTTATACTTAGATGCAAGGAATATGTTTTGTTCCCCCCAATTTAGCGCACCACCCTGGGAAGTGCATGTCACAGACCAACTCCACCTTCACCTTCACCACCTGCCGCATCCTGCATCCTTCAGACGAGCTCACTCGGGTCACACCAAGGTAAGGGGCCTCAGCCCCAGGGTGGGCAGGGCTGGGGTAAGGTTGGGGCACCCCCTTCCCTGCAAGGGTTAATATTGAGGAAAGGCAAGTAGAGAGGGTCATTTAAAAACCAACTGTAGGCCGGGCGCGGTGGCTCACGCCTGTAATCCTAGCTCTCTGGGAGGCCAAGGCAGGTGGATTGTTTGAGCTCAGGAGTTGGAAACCAGCCTGAGCAAGAGCGAGACCCCGTCTCTACTAAAAATAGAAAGAAATTAATTGGACAACTAAAAATATATAGAAAAAATTAGCCGGGCATGGTGGCGCATGCCTGTAGTCCCAGCTACTTGGGAGGCTGAGGCAGGAGGATCGCTTGAGCCCAGGAGTTTGAGGTTGCTGTGAGCTAGGCTGACGCCACGGCACTCACTCTAACCCGGGCAAAAGAGTGAGACTCTGTCTCAAAAAAAAAAAAAACCAACTGTAGCCAGCTTAAGCCTCTCATCAGCATTTGCAACCATCTATTCTGGGTCCCATCTTTCCTTTTGAATCGAGGATCTTATTGATTCCGATCCAGCTCAGATAAAGAGACTTGGACCCATGTTTAGTTGCCCTTTTAGTTGGCCACGGGATGGATTCTTAGGCCCCTCCTTAACAGCTGAAGCTGACACTTCCACAGGCCCTACAGCCAAGTCTCTTGGACGTTTGCCCAAAGTTTCGTCAATAGAGCATTACTGAGCCCTGGGCCTCTGGAACAGATGCCAGGAACCACGCACCGCAGCCAAACTATAGTGACCAAAATGATGAAACTCCAGGACTGAGCCGTGTGCCCAGCTGTCTGGTGTACCATCTGTCGAGAGGACTTGTGTGGTGTGGGGTGGTCTGTTTGGCTTGATTTCAGGCCTTCCACAGCTTCCAGTGAAAGGGAAAACGGTCTCCCGCGACACAGAAGAGTGACCCCCCCACCTGTCCTCTCTGCGATGCAGTCGAGCAAGGTGCTGGGGTGACGGAAGGTGCAGCAGGAAGGGAGGGCGGTAAGAAGGGCTAGCTTGTAGGCAGCAGCCACCCAAGGAGCACCTTAAACTATGAATGATTCTCCACAGGTCATGTGAGGAGGACGACGAAGCAGCCATATGCCCTGTTGAGCTGAGAGGAGATGTAGGGCAGAGAGTCTGAGCCCACAGGCGAGGCGGGGGGTGAGCACACCGCCAGCAGTGCCTGCCCCGGCAGGGTCATGTGGAAGGAGCTGTGTGTGCACGCGTGGCCGCCACTAACCCGGGGACTTAGCCGTGGATGTGTCTCTGTGGTTGTGCCTGGCTAACGCGGCCTTTGACAGTCAATACCCCTAACCTGTCTAAACACTCCCAGTCGAGCCAAGTGCCAGCACTAATAAAGGGCTAACCCTAAGTTCTCACCAGATGGGGATTTGTAAATTCTACCTTTGTCTTCCCCATCGCCCTCCTTGCCCCTGGAGAACCTGGCTTCCTTATCCTGTGGCTTTATGTTTGGAAGAGATTGTTTTTATAAACCACAGCACAAAGCTTCCCCGTGGGAGGCTGGTGCCCTGGGTCACCAGATGTCACTCTTCTGACTGCAGCCATAGGACTCAGCCACACATGTGTCTTCATACAGCCATGTCGGGGGCACAAGTCAGTAGCAAGAGAGGGCTCTTTTGCCTGAGTTTGTAAGAAGGCCACTGGAAACAAAGTTGAAAATCTCCCTACGAATGGCCATGTAAACAAGATTTTAAGTCTAGAACATTTTTGTCCTCTATTGACTGTATATCAACATTTGAAAAATTCCACCTGTGCCTTTTGAAAAATCCACATTTTTAACCTTAGGAATCTGCTTTGATTTCTAACCTCATGTTTCTGTAAGTGTTCCCAACCTGCCAGCATCCCCACTCCTGAGCTTGTGTGAGATGGGCCTGTTCTGTGGCCTCCACCCTGTGCTGCCCGGCCAATGGTGAGGTCACCTGAGTGTGGAGTCAAATGGTGCCTCTGGCTTGTACTTGCTTTTAAACTGTCTTACCCAAAGAAGGGGGCCCTGCTCCAGGATGGGCCCTCTGCTTTCCCGTTCCCCTGTTTGGTGCTTTATCCAAAGCATCTGGACCTCCCACTGCCAGTCTGGAGAGAGAGGTCTCCATCCAGCTCCTGGGGACCACCAGCTGATCTGCTCCAAGGGGTGCTGGCAGCCCCAGCCAAATCCTCAAGCCGGCTCCAGGGAGGTCCTGTGAGACTGTTAGGAGGGATGTTCATCTTTGCCCCTTGGGTGCTCGTTTAGAATCAGTGCAGGGCTTCCCCCGATCCCAGTAGCAGCTGTTAAAGGAGAACCTTTCCTGTTTTTTAAGCAGATGGTAATACATTTCCCTCTTCTGCCTTCTGATAAATTTTTCTGTCCTAATGGCCTTCATGACTGGATCCCAGCTGCTGGAAACTAGTGGTTCCGCCATCAGCATGACCCAGTGAATGAATAAATCTTTCTGCTTTCCTTTGGTAACTCAGGTTTCACACACGTTAGCAGGCCTCTGTTCAGGTAGCGCTGTAGATGTAGATCTACTGATACGTGACGTGGCCTTCTGTGACCCTGTTGCTCCACTGGGCAGAATGGATTTGGACAAGCAGGTGAAGAGGATTCAGGACAACACAGTACAGAGGAAAGAGCGCCGGGCCAGGGAGTTGGGAGCACAGGGACAATGTGTACTACCTGGCCCACACACTGTGGCCATTTTTGCCATTCCTAAAATAAGGAATATCTCATATCCCCTAGACCTGGTTTGTGTCTTGCCTCAGGGAGAAGTAGGTATTAGGAATTTGAGTAAATTTTGTAGGGAAAGAAAGCTTCTTTGCCAAAGGGCTTCCTTCCCTTTTCTCTGATAGCCGTGGGGTCACTCAGACTTGCATTTGAATTGGAGTTGTCCACTTAATAACCAAGTGTGATACTGAGGAAACCACCTAAGCTTTGAGTCTGTTTCTTCATCTGCAAGGGGATAGTTATACCCACCTGCCAGGGATGTGCAAAGGGGATCATGTGTAGCTTCCTGCCTCCATTTAAGGGAATCCAAGGCACGCCTCCCTGGGTGAGATGGAGGAGCAGATGTGAACAGAGGCATCTGGAGGTCCTCAGCTGGGGGAGTCCCCTCATCGTGTCCCAGGCCTGACCTGTACCCCCTGCAGGAGACTGGCCACTGACCCTTTCTGTGGCGCATGTGGGCATTTGTGATGAATAACCCGTTGTGTCTTCCTTTCAGCCTTAACTCAGCCCCAACTCCAGCTTGTGGCAGCGCCAGCCACTTGAAATCCACGCCGGTGGCCACACCATGCACTCCACGGAGACTGAGCCTGGCTGAATCGTTCACTAACATCCGTGAATCCACGACCACCATGAGCACATCCCTGGGGCTTGTGTGGCTGTTGAAGGAGCGGGGCATTTCCGCGGCTGTCTATGACCCGCAGAGCTGGGACAGGGCCGGCCGGGGCTCCCTCCTGCACTCCTACACTCCCAGGATGGCTGTGATCCCCTCCACCCCGCCGAACTCACCTATGCAGACGCCCACGTCCTCCCCGCCCTCCTTTGAGTTCAAGTGCACAAGCCCTCCCTATGACAACTTCCTGGCTTCCAAGCCGGCCAGCTCCATCCTAAGGGAGGTGAGGGAAAAGAAGAACGTGCGCAGCAGTGAGAGCCAGACAGACGTGTCCGTCTCCAACCTCAACCTCGTGGACAAAGTCAGGAGGTTTGGGGTGGCCAAAGTGGTGAACTCAGGGCGAGCCCATGTCCCCACCTTGACTGAGGAGCCGGGACCTCTCCTCTGTGGGCCCCCAGGGCCTGCACAAGCCCTTGTCCCTGGAGGCCTGGTACCCGAGGGCCTGCCTCTCGGATGCCCCACAGTCACCAGTGCCATCGGCGGGCTGCAGCTCAGCAGTGGCATCCGGCGGAATCGCAGCTTCCCCACCATGGTGGGATCCAGCATGCAGATGAAAGCCCCCGTGACTCTCACCTCGGGAATCTTGATGGGTGCTAAGCTCCCCCAACAAACTAGCTTACGGTGAGGACGGGAGGGGCGCCGTTGCCCTGGAGGAGCCCAGCACTCTCCCGTCTTGTGCCCCGCCTCCCTCTCTTCCCCCTGCAGTGCACTCTCTTCCCTCTTCCTTTCTCTGCCCGTCCCCTCCTGAACTACACAAATCAACCTCGTGCCTAATGGAGGAGGAGTGGAAACTCTGTAAAATGTGTACATAGGACTTGGAGACCTCATCTCTGCCCTGCTCTTTCTTCAGATCCCACAGGAAGTGCCCCTGTGCTGTCATGACTCATGAGGACTTCACCCCGGCTAACCTGGGGAAGGTGGTGTCCTTTTCTTCTTTCCTTTCGAGAAGCACTGAAACTCCCAAGTGTGTTCTTATCCCATGGATAGGAAACCAGTGAATTCCGTGGCTGACCACCTGTGTTGCACACTATGAGCTGTCACGGCTCGGGTCGTAATGCATCTGGGTGTCCTTGGACACCTGGCCTCGCTCACCCTGTGACAGCGTAAGGAGCCTCCGTCCTCGGCCACGTGCAGCTGATGTAGCGTTCACAATCGGAGAGCTTTCCTTTCTTTTATGGGTGGCCCCGCTTCTTCAAGACCTTTACTACTCTGCCTCAGCGGACAGTCGTTTCTTTTTTGAGGTGTGACCTTTTCTTTCCATGCCTTCAACTTGAAGTCATCCCGTGTTTTGTAATCAAATGTCAGGCCAAACGTCTGACCCGAAAGAGAATGTATTTACACTCCTGCTGCGTTGTTCAGCAGCCCCTCCGTGTTCTGTGTGATTTGTTTTATTTCTCCGGTTTTTTATATGCAGGGAAGTAATGGTACTGGTAGTGTATGTTCTCTGTGTGGTTCTATGACACCGAAATGCAAATTTCAAACCCACCACGCTGCTAATGAGATAGCAGCTTATTCCTGGGACCCAGTGTCACAACCAAATTGATGTAAGACCAGACCCAAGACAACTGTAACAGTAGGATTAAAGGGAAAGAGGGTAGGGAAAAAGCTTATTAAAGAACTGTGTCAGCACTAAAGGGGAAGAACCACAACCAAGTGTAATACCAGACTGGTTCAAGGGAGAAACGAGACCTTGGCATCCTGCTGGCTCCGGGCCTTACTCGGGAACTCAGAGTGGCCAGGGTGCTTTCACTGGAGCCTTCTGTGGCAGCCAGTCAAGGCCCACGTGTTTTTCCCTCTTGTTTCAGAACAGTGAATGGTCACAACAAAATACTTTCTCCCCACAAAGCCTTTTGTCTTCTTGTGCCACTTTTTATCCTTAGGAAAAGATAGAGGTGCTTGTGAAAAGAACCGTGAACAAACAAGGGAGCCTGGTCCTGTTGCTGTTGCCGGTTAAGTTTCAAACTTTTATTTATTATTTGTGTGTGCCGTATTTTAAACAAACATCCTCTCTCCTTCCTGCTCCAGTCCTAGTGTGTCTGTGGCATTCCAATCCAAGCAGTTTATTTATTTATTCTAATCTGAGGACTGCACTTTACATCACGGTGTTCCATGACCACTTGTTCCAGACATTTATAGAAGGAAAACATCCTGTGTAAATGAAATTGTCATTCTGTGTCCTCCCCCCAGCAGATGTGTCCTTCAGTTAAGTGAGGGTAACCTTATGTCCATGGAGGTTACTTTGAGAAAGTCCCCAAGGAGCAAGCTTCAGTCCCACGATTTCAGACTATTTATTCTCGGAACACAAGAGCGTTGGTTAATTATGATCTCAGTTCTCCTCGCTGTTGTACGTGTGCATTCACTGCAAGTAACTTATATCTTTTTATTTGAATGTATTTTAAAGCAGTAGGTAGAATAACAAAGGAATAGGAAAACTATGGACTGAATGGACCACTTTATGTATTCAGAGAGGAGCCACCCATCACCAGAAATTACTTCATCACCAGAAATACTGTGTAAAAATTGGCAATTCGGAGTTGCAGTATTAGTATAGTAAATAAATGATCAACGTTGTGCAACCACTACCAAAAGTGTGTTGTAATGCATCAAAAATCAACAATAAAATTTTATTCGCTAATGAGTATCAATAAAATAAGTTCAAATGATGGAAACCACACTGGTATTCTGATTTTTATTTTCTTTTTATATTTTCATCAAGAAGATGATTTCTTTACGTAAGATTTGAAGATGTTTAGCTCTTTGGGGAAATTTAATGAAAAGCATATACTTTACATACAATTATATGCCTCTTTCTTTCAATGTAATACCATGCCTTAGACAACTTTTGAACCAGAACCTGAAGATCTCCCTCACTTTTCAGGGCTGTGTACTATTCCACCGTGCCCTCATACCGGCTGTGAATACATACCCCTATGAACCAATCTCCTACAGGTGGTCATTGATTAGTCTTTTGCTATCACAGCTCTGTAATGAAAAAACTTTGCACATGATTTTCCACATGTATGAGCACATCTGTGGAATAAATTCCCAGATGTTGCCAGCCAAATTGCCTTCCATAGAGTTGTGTTAAGAGACTGAAGAACCAAGGACAGCAGAGACCCACTAGCTGGGAAATTGTGAGAATAAAAGGATAAAATAAAACTTAATTGGCTACCTTAATATTTGAAAGCAGTGAAATCATGCAAATAACACACTAGTGGAATATGGCATCATGGATTTTAAAGCAATTGCTACCATTTGGTAGGGGTGTGACCTTGGGCAAGCCACTTACCCTCTTTGGGTTCTCCATGGAAACAGTAATACACTTCAGCATTTATTGGTTGAGTAAATATATTTTAGCACCTACCATGTGCCAGGCATTGCTCTGGGTACTACGGAGACAGTAATGAACAAGCGAGCCAATTTTTGCTCTCATGGAATGGACAATCTATTGAGAGAACAGTGACACCAAGCATAGAATAAGGGCTGTGCAGAGAATTAAAATAGGGTGGTGTGAAGGAGTGGGTGGGTGCTTTGGTTTGGGCAGAGAAAGCCTCTCCTGGGAGCGGACAATTGAGTCAACCATGTGAGGTCTGGAAAAAGAGCATTTGTGCAGAGAGAGCAGCTAGTGCAAAGGTCCGGAGGTAAGAAAGTGCTTTGGTGTGTTTGAGGAACAGAGAGAGGCCCATGTGGCTGTGGGCTGGTAGGATAAGGGGAGTGCAGTGGTGGCAGAGAAGCCACGGTGCTTACAAATGGTCCATCTGATCCCCGTGTTTCCCAGACACTGCCGGTGGGCAGGTCATATGATTAGTTCTGGCCAGGGGCCTGAGAGCAGAGAAAAATCCATGCACGATTCTCCATGTTCCTCTCTTCCTGTGTTACACCCAGAAGCCTCATATTGAAATGGAGTCTCATCATCCTGGATCTCTGAGTGTGTGGACCAGAGCTCCCTGCCAACCTGTATTTGATGTAATCTTAAGGAGAAACAAGCGTTTGTTGTTAAGCCAGTGAGATTTTTGATTAGTGTATTAGAATCCATGGGGGTAGGGCCCAGGTGTCTGTGTTTTAACAAGTCCTCCAGGTGATTCTGGTGGGCATTTCAGTTCGAGAACCACTGCACAAGACCACGTGGAGGTTGGGTGGGAACTCTGCCATGGAAGGGGTGGGTTCCCCTTCCCCAGCCGCTCCTTGTGTCAGGAGCTCTGAGAAGGCCAGGCAGACACTGCAGCCCACCTTGCTTGAAGGGAAGAGAGAGAGTGGGCAGGTTTATCTGCCCAGCTGGGGCAGGGGAGGCTTTGAGGCAAGGTGACTCTGGATCTGGTCTCCAAGGAAGGGTAGGATGTGCCACGTGGGCAAGGATTCCAAACAGAGGGTAAAGATGTGGAGGAGGGGTGGGAAAAGGGTCCTAGAATACATTCCTTTATGCTTTTCCTGATATTAATAGTAGAATGGTGAAATATAGAAGGGACAACAGAATTAGGAAAAAACACCATTTTGCAACCATAACACTAATAATAACTAATTCAGACCATAAGGGACACTAAAACCATAGGGTAAGAATTTGCCAGGTAGCAGAATATTTATACACATTGTGTCTTCCCATAGAATGCTTATTAATTTACAAAGGGAAGGGGGAGGTATCTTTGCGGTAGACAGCCCTGTGGCACACCACTTTAAACAAGTCATGAAATTTACCCAAAATGAGACAAACTGATATCAGGCACCAGATATGTGATGTACTAGGAAGGACACACATGTCCTGTGTTCCTACCACAAACGCAAAGCCTGAATCATGAGGTTGACACATTGAGGGACATTTTATAAAACAATGTAGCTATCCTTTTTAAAAACGTCAACATCATGAAAGACTGAGGAGCTGCTCTAGATTAAAGGAGGATAAAGAGACAATTAATGCAATGCATGATTTGAATTAGATACTGGGGTAGAAAAGATGCTATAAAATATTGGAACAATTAGACAAATTTGAATATAGAGCATATGTTTTTAAAATTGTATCAATATGAAATTTTCTGAATTCACTGGTTGTACTATAGATACGTAAGAGCACATCCTGTTGTTACAGCCTTACCAGGTTCATTGCCTGCCGTTCAAGAGGAAGCCAGTGCACTGAGACAGCAGGGGCTACAGCAGAGGGTTTAATATCGCAGGCACCATGTGAAGAGGTGCAAAGAAATTCTCAAATCTGTCTCCCTGAGAACTTGGGAGAAAGGGTTTTTCAAGATAGTTTGGCGGGCAAAGGGCTAGGCATTTGGGTCTGCTGATTGGCTGGGTTTAGGGGTGGAATCATAGGGGTATAGAAATTGTCTTTTTGTACTGAGTCAGTTCCTGGAGATGGTGGGGGCGGGGGAGGTTGGTGGTCACTGGACCAGTTGAGTCAGTTCCTTGGTATGGGCCACTGGTCTGGGTGGGTCAGCTGGTCCACTAAAACTAGCCTGAGGTTTCTCAAGGGTGATCTTATCTATGGGAGCAGTGAAGAAAGCTAAGAATCTTTATGACCATCAGCTATGTGACTCCCGAGCAGTGAGCAATTATAGGAAAGCAAGCTCGGGAACAATGGCTGCTTATGTATATATTTCCCTACTACAGTTCCCACATTGTGGCCCTTCATTAATTTTATAAAGGGCGGTTTCACTATTTCCTAGGAGATACATGCAACAGGGTTAAGAGAAAGGGGATTGGTGTCTGCAAGTTACTTTCAAAGTTTTCAGAAAAAGCAAAGAATAAGACCTTTTTTAAAAAAGGGGGCAAAAAAAAGTTATTCTCAAAAGGCAGGTAGCACTGTAATGATACACATTTTGTAAACTATTATTAATAATATAAAATGCATTCTTCTGCCTTGCGAGTGTGGCAGGGGAAAGTTCAAGGTTGTTGGGTGCCTCTTTCCTGTTCTGTGCTGAATTTCTCCATGCGTATCCAGAGCCCTGTCCCTAGCCCAGGGAGTTCCACCCGAGGACACCATGGCCTAAGGGGAAAGTTGTCAAAGGGGCAGTTGATGGGACCAGAAAACAAAGATGTCAAATTCTTGGTTTTCAGTTGTGAGGAAAGAAAAAGTTGAGCATAGGTTTTTTTGGCATAAGACCAAAAGATCTGGAACAAAACCTGCCGAGCCAGTTTTTCTTGTTACTACTCACTGTCCCTCTGCTACTTCTACTTGCCAAACACCCACGAACAGGACTGGACAAAGGTTCCCCAAACGGAGGGAGTTGGAGAGGGATTTCAGCATGCAACCAGTGTGGGAGCCTTTCATCTTTCCCTGTCCGTGGGCCAAGTCCAAAGTTACGGGAGGAGCCCCGGGTGAGCCTGGGGATCCAAGGACGGATGAACTCATTTTGCTGGGGGCCTGGGGAAGCAGGGATGTCCCAGAGCCCCTCTTTAGCAACTCGCCCTCATCAAGGGGCAGCACCAGCACGGGGCAGTGAGGAAATAGAAATGGCAGCAGTAGGTCTCAGTGGAGAAGTCCCAGGGAGATCCTGAAGTACCTGGCCCCACACAGGTGTGGGAATCACTTCCACACACTGCCTGGGAGCAGGGAGGCAGGTATGCCCTGGAGCAGGGGGTTGCCAACAGGACAGAGGAGATGGATACTGTTTCCCCGGCAGCCCTGGCCACTGTGGGCACCCAGAACCCAGATGCCACCTGGGGAGAAGCTGATGGAGGGTAAAGTCATTCTGAATTATCTGAATTGTTTGGAAGTTCATAATAGGGATTAAGTTGAGATTTAGGAAAAAAAAATTAATTTTTGTTCATCTAAGTACATTGGACATCACATCCTAGAAGGATGTTTTTCTGTAGCCAGTAGAGGGCACTCAGTGACAGCAGAAGACCTGAAGGACCAGCCCTGGTGATGCAGTCACAAGATCAGGTGGGTTTGCTTCTCTCACGAATGCAATTCAGGGCAGGCAACTGTGCCTCCCAGAGCTCTCCAACAGCGTCACTGTAAATAGAGAGCTGTCCAGGGTGCAAGTCGGGAGAAAATGCCCAGGAGGACGGCCTGGCCCTTCACATTCCAGAGCCCCTCCTCAGGACCAGGAGTCTGGCGTCCTTTCTGGAGCTTCAGTGGATTTGGAGCTGCAGTGGCTGGGGGGTAGTGGTGCAATGCCAGACCCCCAAGGATTCCTTAGGCTGAGCGGTCTTCTCTCCTGAGTTCTTCCCTCTCACTCTTCCTTCCAAGATGTCAGGACTCAGTTCCATGCTGTTCTGGGGATCCACAGAGGACCCAGACACAGTCCCGGCCCCTGAGGGCCTCAGTCTGCAGGGGCAGCAGAAGTGGTCACGGTTACAGTGGAGGGAATCCCTCTGCCGGGGATTGGGAGCCACCAGAGGAGTCACGGGCATGGTCTGCGATCTCCAGGTGAGCTGGAAGGAGGTGTCCAGGAGGGAGGGCAGCGTGCCCACAGGCTTGGGGTGAGAATAAAGAAATTCAGCACGGAATGGGGAGGAAACCACTTTGCATATCCTCCTGCCACACCCAGGAAACACGAAGGCATTAAAAAATAGTTTACCAAGCATAGTCTGCATTATTAGGGTACTTCGCACCTTTTGAAATCAACCCACTCCTTTAAAATATATCTTTTAAAAATATTCTTGTTCTTTGCTTTTTTCTGGCAACATTTGAAAGTGAGTTGCAGACATTATGCCCGTTTTCTCCTTAATG